AGTCCAATATTAAAATCCAAGATTGAAAAAGAAAAAGATAAAAAAGAGAAAGATGAAAAAGAAATATTAGAGGCTGAGAAAGACACATCCAAAGAGGAATCTAAGGTAGAAACTAAAGAGGAGCCCAAAGATGAGGAGAAAAAAGATAAAGAAGATCTTATAGCAAAACTGAAAGCAAAGGTACCGGTTAAACCAAGTCCAATATTAAAATCCAAGACTGGAAAAGAAAAAGATAAAGATAAGGATCAAGAGATAGAAAAAGAGAAAGATAAAGAAAAAGATAAAGAAAAAGAAAAAGATAAAGAAAAAGATAAAGAAAAAGATAAAGATAAAGAGAAAAAAGAAGAAAAAGATAAAACAGAAATAATAAAGGAAAAATCAAAGGATTCTGAGGATGAGGATAAATCAAAAGAGGATAAGGATGTAACCAAAAAATTAAAAGAAACTAAGAAAGAAGAATCTAAAGAGGAATCTAAAGATGAGGAGAAAAAAGATAAAGAAGATCTTATAGCGAAACTGAAAGCAAAAGTACCGGTTAAACCAAGTCCAATATTAAAATCCAAGACTGAAAAAGAAAAAGAAACAGAAAAAGACATAGAAAAAGATAAGGATAAGGAGATAGAAAAAGAGAAAAAGAAAGAAAAAGATAAAGAGAAAAAAGAAGAAAAGGGTAAAACAGAAACATTAAAAGAAAAATCAAAGGATTCTGAGGATGAGGATATATTAAAAGAGGATAAGGATGTAACCAAAAAATTAAAAGAAACTAAAAAAGAAGAATCTAAAGAAGAATCTAAAGATGAGGAGAAAAAAGATAAAGAAGATCTTATAGCAAAACTGAAAGCAAAAGTACCGGTTAAACCAAGTCCATTATTAAAATCCAAGACTGAAAAAGAAAAAGAAACAGAAAAAGACATAGAAAAAGATAAGGATAAGGAGATAGAAAAAGAGAAAAAGAAAGAAAAAGATAAAGAGAAAAAAGAAGAAAAAGATAAAACAGAAACAATAAAGGAAAAATCAAAGGATTCTGAGGATGAGGATAAATTAAAAGAGGATAAGGATGTAACCAAAAAATTAAAAGGAACTAAGAAAGAAGAATCTAAAGAGGAATCTAAAGATGAGGAGAAAAAAGATAAAGAAGATCCTATAGCAAAACTGAAAGCAAAAGTACCGGTTAAACCAAGTCCATTATTAAAGTCCAAGACTGAAAAAGACATAGAAAAAGATAAAGAAAAAGATAAAGAGAAAAAAGAAGAAAAAGATAAAACAGAAACAATAAAGGAAAAATCAAAGGATTCTGAAGACGAGGATAAATCAAAAGAGGATAAGGATTTAACCAAAAAATTAAAAGAAACTAAGAAAGAAGAATCTAAGGAGGAATCTAAAGATGAGGAGAAAAAAGATAAAGAAGATCCTATAGCAAAACTAAAAGCAAAAGTACCGGTTAAACCAAGTCCATTATTAAAATCCAAGACTGAAAAAGAAAAAGATAAAGATAAGGATAAAGAGATAGAAAAAGAGAAAGAGAAAGAAAAAGAAAAAGATAAAGAGAAAAAAGAAGAAAAGGATAAAACAGAAACATTAAAAGAAAAATCAAAGGATTCTGAGGATGAGGATAAATCAAAAGAGGATAAGGATGTAACCAAAAAATTAAAAGAAACTAAGAAAGAAGAATCTAAGGAAGAATCTAAAACTGAAAAGAAGAAAAAGAGTGAAAGAGAAGATAGTAAAGAATTCTCTGACCAAGAAAAGAGTAAAAATAAGGAAATTGAAGATGATGAGAAGGAATCAGAAAAAGATAGTTTGAATCAGAGTAAAACTAAAGAAATAACTAAATCAAAAGCTGCTGCTCAACTCAAAGCAGCAATTTTAGCAAGATCATCATCTAAAAAGAGCATCTTAACAGATAGTAGCGAAGATTCTAAATTGAAAAAAACTGAATCTAAAAAAGAAATAATTGAACATGAAACAAAAGATGGAGGTAAAACTAGTGAAAGTAAGAGTGATCTTAAGAAAACTTTGAAAGAAGGTGAAGGCTCTATTTCAAAAGTTAAGGGAAAGAGTAAGGTTAAATCAAAAACAAAAGCTAAAGCAAAAGAAACCCCACCTCCAGCTGAGGAATCAAGTTGGTTTGGTGGATGGTTCGGAACTGCTGCACCCGCTGAACCTCCCAAAGAAGAGGAGAAGAAAGAGGATGAGAAACCTCCTGAACCACCGGCTGAAGAGTCAAGTTGGTTTAGTGGATGGTTTGGAACTGCTGCACCCGTTGAACCTCCCAAAGAAGATCCAGCAAAAAAACCTACCACTAAAAAAAGCCTTGTAAAGAAGTCATCTTCCGTTAAAAAAGATATTGATGATAATAAGGAAGAAAAGGAGAAGAATGAGGAGAATAAGGAGAGAAAAGAGGAGAAACAAGAGGAGAAAAAAGAGGAGAAAAAAGAGGAGAAAAAAGAGGAGAAAAAAGAGGAGGAAAAAACTAAGGAGGAAGTAAAGAAAATTGATGAAAAGAAAAAATCTGAGGAAAGCTCAGAAAAAATAGTTAAAGCAAAGCCTAAGTCTAAAGTAAAAGCTAAAGCAAAAGAAGCCCCACCTCCAGCTGAGGAATCAAGTTGGTTTGGTGGATGGTTCGGAACTGCTGCACCCGCTGAACCTCCCAAAGAAGAGGAGAAGAAAGAGGATGAGAAACCTCCTGAACCACCGGCTGAAGAGTCAAGTTGGTTTGGTGGATGGTTTGGAACTGCTGCACCCGTTGAACCTCCCAAAGAAGATCCAGCAAAAAAACCTACTACTAAAAAAAACCTGGTTAAGAAGTCATCTTCTGTTAAAAAAGACATTGATGACAACAAAGAAAAAAAGGAAGAAAAGAAAGATGAAAAAGAAGAGGAGGCAAAAGAAGAAAAGGAGGAAAAAGAGGAAAAGGAAGAAAAGAAAGTAGCCAAAGCTAAAACAAAAGCAAAAGCAAAAGCAAAGGCAAAAGTTAAGGCTAAGGAAGCCACGCCTCCTCCGGCTGAAGAGTCAAGTTGGTTTGGTGGATGGTTTGGAACTACTGCACCCGCTGAACCCGAACCAGAGCCCAATAAGGAGGAGCCAAAAGAACAAAAAAGTGAGGAACCTGCTGCTACATCTTGGTGGGGATGGTGAATTTAATGCACTTTGTAAAAAAACAATTTAATTAGTATACCTGTTAAAGAAAGTGTTATATTTTCTTATATTTTTGAATTAAATTTTTTCTTTAGTTATAAAAAATTAGGCGGGAATTATCTCGTGTAAAATATGTTTTTTTTTAAGGGGAAAATGCAGGTAAACAATTGTTTAAATCATAAGTATTCTGGGGTAATTTGCCGTAATAAGGACAAAGAAGAAAAATATTGTGAGAGATTTTGATCAGATTTTTATTGTTAACCGGAATTAATATATTAAATGCATTAAATTGGTTATTACGTATTGTGGAAACAAATTTGTAAATTAAAAAATTGTGTATTTCGTGCACGAGGGAAAAAATTTTCAATAAATAAAATAAAATTTTAATTATAGGCTGGCTGTAAAACTTTATTTTCAAACCAAGGTTTGTATGTAATCATATATAATTTTGTGATTTAATTTGCTAAAGAAATATAACTACAAAATTTGTACTAAAATAAGAATTCATTTTTAGATTAATTCAAAATTTTTTTTTTCAATTAACTGAAAAAACTTAATAAACAATATAATTGATTATACTACAGGTAAAATGGGAGATAACAGAAGAATGACTTTGGTAAGTTTTTCTGTATGTTTGAAATATCTTAAATTAATTGAATTTGTTCTTTTATATTTGAAAACATTTGAAGGAGCTTAGAGGCCTCCAAGTATTTACAGATGAGCTTGAGGAAGATAAACAAGTTGGAATAAAGCTCATTGGTAATAAAACTGATAACTTTTTGGGTATCATTAGAGGTCCAGTAGGAACACCATATGAGGGGGGAGTATTTCAACTCGATATAATTGTTCCAAAAGAATATCCATATGAACCCCCAAAAGTCAAATTTATTACAAAAATTTGGCATCCAAACATTTCTAGTCAAACTGGAGCTATTTGCCTAGATATTTTAAAAGATGCCTGGAGTCCTGCATTGACTCTTAGAACCGTAATGCTTTCCATCCAAGCATTACTCTCTTCTCCTGAACCTAACGATCCTCAAGATGCACTAGTTGCATCTCTATACAAAAATGATTATTCGAAATATATTGAAACTGCCAAAAATTGGACTCAAATGTACGCAAAACCAACGTCAAAAGAAGAAAAGGTTAAAAGATTCCTCGATATGGGATTTAACCGTGATTCTATAATAACGGCACTAGAAAGAAATAATTGGGATGAAAATTTCGCTCTAAATGAGTTATTATCTGAAAACTAATTTTTCAACGAATTTTTGTGCCAAATCTTAATATACAATCTTTTAAATTTCATTTGAATATCTTAAAATATCTAGACCAGCTACAAAATTATTGTGTTTAGTTCTCACCACTAGTCTTAATACAATTACATTTTTATCCCTTATAATTTTATTACTTGAAATTTTTCATAAAAATCTCTCATTTCCCCACATGTTAAAACGTAAGACCATATATAACAATCAAGGCGCGCGCGCGAACCCAATGTCTTGTGTGATATTACATGTCAAATAAATACAATATTAGTGGTTAAATAAAAGATTGTATAAACCAATTCGAAAACAATACATTTATTAGTTATTTCTTTTTTAAATAAATAAAGGCATTTTTATGACGATTTTTATGGATTTGTAAATGCCAACCTAGAAGGAAAAGTATAATCAATTAGAGTAAAAGATTACATGAGGATTGTTATATTTATTTTGCTTATCTTTGATTATTTTTCAATAATAAAGGTAAGATTAACTTAATTGCTTATAAATTATATTAATAATAATTTTTCAGGTTTTAGCAGAAAGTCAGTCAAGGCAAGATGAACCTAAACTGAAATACAATAAAGATGATGTACGTTTGAATATTTAATTGGATTAAATTTACAAAAAAATCTTTAGATCAATTATATAATAAGTGGTAGTTGCTTATACACATACTCAAAATTTGTAAATGAATTTAAAAGAGTAAGTAGAAATAGTTTGTTGTGGCCAAAATTAGTAAAAAATGAAAGTAATAACAAGATAAAGCACCGATTTAATGAAAAATATGCGATGTTTAGCTCTTTTATGGCAATTAAGAAAATATTACAAATTCAATCAAGTCATTCAGTAAATAATGATTATTTGGACACCATTATATTTTTGAGGTTCAATATAGCATTAATGGAAAATACTCTTGAATCTAAACTAGATGAAATGCCCGAAGATGCTAAGATCAAATTATTTGAAATTAAAAAAAGAGTTCTAGGCAACAATTATATACTGGATAAATATTTTTATAATAAATATAATATTCTGAATCTTGAAAAAAAAAAACTCTTTAAGATATTTTTACGCTTCTTTATATACCCAGCATATTTAGATCTTCACAATTATGGCAATATAATATTATCAAGGTAAGTTATATTTAAATAAAATAATTTATATTAAGGGAGATAAATAATAAATTAACCTTTTTATAACTGTAGACTCGACCAAAAACTTAAAAATAAAGTTGCGTACATTAATAAAGATATTAATTCGTTAAAAAAAATGTTTTTTAATTTATTTGATACTGTAAGTTTTATTTAATTAATATTTTACACAATTTGAATATATAATAAACAAACATTTTAAAAATTCAGTGTAATTAACAAAAAATATAATGAAATAAGTCTGTAATAATTTATTTGTTATATATACTTTAAAAAAAAAAATAAAGTGATAGATAAATTAGTAGAAAATAAATGGTTTATTAACTATTATTTACCATGTATATTTTGTCGTTAATTTGTTTAATAAAGAAAAATGTTGCTTTAGAGATTGAGTCAAAAATTGTGTAAAGAGGTACTTTATTTTGAGCTGAAATATTCTTCCATAAATTTCTGACAAGAGAAGAATGAATAAAAGCAATATCTTCAATACTTGAACCAACTAATGCAATTGGGGCTATAAATTCATTGAAAATAAAGTTGATCATATCATCAATTTCTCTGGAAATTTCTATGCTTTTTTTTCGATCAGTATTTGATAAATCTCCAGTGTTCCATATACCAAACCCTTTTTCATGATGCATTAAAATATCAAAGTTTTCATCTTGATATCTATAACTAAAGGCAGTATGTACTGGACAACTCTTAATATTATTTCTGAATAGGTTCAAATTAATAGATAAATTTTTGAAATCCTTGCTTTGAACTTTATTTAATAATAAGAGCCCAACTTGGGATGCTTTAATATCAATAAGTTTCAATAATATTCTTATGTACCCTTTAAATTCAATAACCATATTAATCATTGCTTCCTCAGATCTTTTATATTTAATCTCTGAAGTATTACTTGTAAAATCATTCAGAAATAATTTCTTAAATAACTTTTTAATTTTTCTGTCTGCACTTTTAGGCTTATTATTTAGCTTGCCAATTGTGTCTCCCAATTCCCCATCATCAAACAATGACGAACCTCCCATTTTTTTTGAGATCTGTCGTAGCTGACGCAATGCTGAAGGAATCCTTTGGACATACTCTTTATGTACCTCATTATTCCAATAGTACCAAATTGTATTGTGCATTTTTTCCATTGTGATTTGCCAATCAAGGTCATTTAACTTTGACAAAAAATTTTCATCAATAATTACGTTTGAAAGTTCTTCCCCTTTTTTCAATGGTGTCAAACTTTCAAATTTATTACTTCGGGTTAAATTAGTATCAAATTCATGTTCCAAAAGAGTCTCAAACATTTCTTTCAGGATCTTATTTTTTTCCATCTTTTCTTCCTCGTAAACTTTTTTAATATCTTCTTCTGTAATTTCACGAACTACTTCAGTTTTGTTATCAAGCTTGTCAGAATTAAAAGTTAAATTGGTGTCTCCCTTTAATCTTTTAATCACATTTTCTACCTCTTCCATAATAATTTGACCTCCATTATTCTCAATTACATCATCTGCTGTATTATTATAATTTTCAATGCTTTTATTATTGCCATTAATGCTTTCACTCAACACCAATGCAGAAAATATCGCCAAAATAAGAGTTAGCTGAAATAAATGATTTTCAAGATGATATAAATTCATCCTAAAACTCTTTGATATTTATTTTTATTTATTGTGATCAGATATATGCCAATTTAATATTTTTAGATCCTAACTATGACTTTTCACAAATATTATCGTTAAAAACTTTATAACATTTACTATATTCCAAGAATTAGTATAGGAAGATAATATATTCTTTTTTCTTTACTTAACCTTTACTTAATCTTCTCCTAATTCACGTAAAATTTTCTTATATATTGAATCTTTTAATTTTCCCTTTAATTAAGCTTGTTTTTCCCCACGTAATTTTTAGTTAATAGAATATTTGTGCGCCCAAATTTTACAAAGAAAATATTTAAATATATTAATTATATAATATTATGTATATTGTTTAAATTTGATAGTAATAAAAATTTTCTAATAAATCATTATAACAAGTTAACTTTATAAGCAACTTTTTATGAAATCTATTATTAAAAAAAAAAAGTTAATTAAAAGAAAAATAAATGATTTTCTTGGACTGATTAACTACCATTTAATATTGTTTATTATTCAAAATGTCTATGGCTAATACAAATGAACATATCTGTTTAAATTAAACCTTTCTTTCAACATTTTTATGAAAAGATTTTAAATCTTATTTGTATTTACTAATTAAAACCTATGTGGACATTTATTTATTTAAAACAGAAAAATTAGAAAATTAATAGTTGAGGGAGCAATTTTTGTTGGTTCTTAATAGAAGTGACATATTAAGTTGAGAACAAAAACATTTTTGAGGAAATTAATAACTATTGTAGATTATACTGAAAAAATGGAGTCAAATGAAAATTTTTCTTTTATTAAAATAAATATAAATAATTGAATTAGTAAATAAAGTATATTTTGGAATCAAATGATATTTTACATTAAATAAGTAATTTAGACTAAATAATTTACTCAATAGTCTAAATAGAATTTGAATGATCTTTGAAATAATTTACATACAAAAACTTAACGTCTTGTCTTTTTAAATGCATTTAACGGTCAAAAATGTATAGAGGGGTGTGTGTGTAATGTATATAAATTATTGAAAATTTTTTAAAAATCATTTTACGTAATAAAAAATTAAATCTTTAAAGTCTAACGTACAATATACAAATTAGCGTTTTTTCTTTTGCATATTTTTTTACCTAATTATTAAGACTATTTGACTAAGTAATTATTTAAAAAAAATAATAGATTGTGGAACGAGTCCACATTAATTGGTATTTATTATTTTTTTTAATTTAAATATACTACTACATTTTGCAGAAGATTTTAAAGAACTGGCTTGGTAATTAAAAAAAAAAAAAAGAATATTGCAATTAATTTTGTTTGATTATATTAAGAAATTACTTATGTATATTAAAAGTCATAACTGAAGACTTATTATTTGAACGAAAATAAAGTATATAAGGTATATATAAATATATATACTTTATATATACTTTATATAAATACTTTATATGCAATTATTTATACATAAATCTATTTATACATGTAAGAATATATGAAAAAGTCAATAATTTCTATAATTAAAGAAAACTTAAGTTAATTAAATTAATACTTTTATTATTTTGGACAAATAATAATAGGAAAAGTTACAACAATTGAAGGATAAGGTAAGGGATATATTTAAAAAAAAAATATATACCAAACAATAAAAACTCTTTTATATATAATACATTTATGAAATTATTCAAGGTTAAAACTTCATAGAATCACAAAATAATTAGCATAAGTTTTGAAGAAGTTTGAATCAATTTAAATTGTGTGAAAATGAGCAATGTTAATGCACAATTATCAAGAAAGCAGCAACTATTAGAGAGAGGGTGTAACGAAATGGTAGAAGAAAAGACTAATTTAACAAATTTAAATCACAATGTTACTTTGAGTTCAGGTTTGTCAACAACCGCAACATCTTCGACAAATTTGGAAACTTCATCCAGAAAATACTCATTGGGAAAAACATTAGGAACAGGGTCATTTGGAATTGTTTGCGAAGTATTTGACGTTGAAACCGGGAAAAGATTGGCTTTGAAAAAAGTTTTACAAGATCCGAGATATAAAAATAGAGAATTGGATATAATGAAAGTTCTAGATCATGTAAACATTATTAAATTAATAGATTATTTCTATACGACAGGAGATGAAGAACCAAAGCCTCCTCAACCTCCTGATGATCATAACAGATTGGGAGGAAAAAATAATGGAGTAAATAATCATCATAAGAGTATAGTTGGGAATCTATCTCAAAACAAATATCTGAATGTCATTATGGAATATGTTCCAGATACACTACATAAAGTATTAAAATCATTCATACGGTCAGGAAGATCCATGCCCATAAATTTGATAAGTATTTATATCTATCAGTTGTTTAGAGCTGTTGGATTTATTCATTCATTGGGAATATGTCATAGAGATATTAAACCACAAAATTTATTAGTGAATTCTAAAGATAACACATTAAAATTATGTGACTTTGGATCTGCTAAGAAATTGATTCCAAGTGAGCCAAGTGTTGCATACATATGTAGCCGTTTTTATAGAGCTCCGGAACTAATGTTAGGAGCCACTGAATATACTCCAAGTATTGATTTATGGAGCATTGGATGTGTCTTTGGTGAACTCATTTTGGGGAAACCATTATTTTCTGGTGAAACTTCTATTGACCAACTGGTTAGGATTATACAAATTTTGGGAACTCCAACAAAAGAACAAATGATTAGAATGAATCCACATTATACAGAAGTAAGATTTCCTACTTTGAAAGCGAAAGATTGGAGAAAAATACTTCCCGATGGAACCCCTTCACTAGCAATAGATTTATTAGAACAGATATTAAGATATGAGCCAGATTTAAGAATCAATCCATATGAGGCAATGGCTCATCCATTTTTTGATCACTTAAGAAATTTGTATGAAGTAGAAGTAAACAATCAAAGCACTTTTTCACATGGAATTAACCAACATATTCCACAATTATTTAACTTTTCGCCATATGAATTATCAATAATTCCTGGAAATGTTTTAAATAGAATATTACCAAAAAATTTCTCTCCGAATTATAAACATTAATTTGAATAACTGAAAATTCTTATCCTATTTTTTTCTTTTTTTTTTGAGAAAACAATTATTCTAAATTTATTATTTCCTCTGTCAACAGTAATTGGTGGCTTATTAATTCTAAAGTGAATTAAATGAAAGAATCTCGATTTTGAAAGACTAAAAAAAAGATTTGGGGAATAATTACTATTATTAGAAATGGAATGATTTTGTAGTAAATGCAATTCGTAATTGGGATTAATTCAAAGCATTTTCATTTTATTCTTGATAGGTTTTAGGTTTAGAAAAATAATAGCAAATAATACAAACAAAGGTATAATTTGTTATTTCATTTTTAGAGATTGTTTTCATAAATCTTATCAAAATATATTTTTGACGTTTTCTTTTCTCCAGTTTCAATATTGAGAAGTTTCAATTCTAAGTAATAAAAAACAATTAAAACCGATGAAAATACATTTAGAAATGAAAGAATTTAGAAAATAAATTACATAATATATTTTAATATACATAACAGAGAATTTATTTATCAAACTTGTAATGACAAATAATAACATATTTCCCGCCTATTGTGGGGCAGAACATGTAAGTTAGGTGTCAAATTATTAATAATAAGAATAGCATGTTATGAGTAAAATAAATAGTGGATAATCTGAATTTAATAAAAATTATTTTTGTTAAATATAAAATATATTATTGTTTATATGTGAGCTTGAAATATTCTCAATCAAATATTTTTGAGATAAACAACTATTCTCATTAAAAAATTTTTAATTAAAATAAAGTAATTTGATTTCTAATAAGAAATTAATTAAGATGAGGAGTCCTTATGCTGAAGAAGTAGAATATTCTGAAAAATTTAATATGGATACTCACGAATATAGGTAAGTAGAAAGATTACTGTTAAATGAAAAGTAACAACTTATTAATATGACCTTAGATTTGTGAAATTAACAAGACCATTATATAAGAAGCTTCAGCAATACAGGTAAATTATTTTTATCATATAGAGATATTTTTGAGCAAAATTACTAATAATTTAGGGCAACCAGAGGAAATGGTCAATTAATTTCGGAGGAAGAATGGCGACATGTTCTTGGTAAGATAATTATTTATTAGTGTGAAGCATATTGCTAATTTTTGTACAACAAATTAACTTTTCCAGGATTACAAATGAGTAGAGGATGGGTACATTTTTTGGATTGGAAAAAAGAGCCTTGGGTTCTATGTTTCAGAAGGCCACAGGGGACAAATCCCCAAACAGGAAAAGTGGATAATAAATCTACGGAGAACGTAAATCAAATGAACAAATAAGTATTTTTATTGATTTATAGTTCAAATTCTTTAATTAGGGCAGTAATTTGGGTTATCAAAAATCCCCAATTTAATTCAAATTAAATTTATAATTAATAATATAAAATATAGTTGAGATCCTTAATTTCTTTTTTATTATTCATTTTTTTCTTGCTTTTGTTTCTTAATTTGAAAATACTCATCATGCACAGTGCCATCTGCCAGACCCGCCTGATGCGGGCGCTAATTTGCACATATTTAAGGGGGAAGTTGGGTATCTTTTTAATATATAAAATTAATTAAACAAAATTTATTTTAAAAATTACCCAAATTATATTATTTGATATTTTGAGATAATAAAGAATAAGAAATATTTGGAAAAAATTATTTGAGAGGGGAAGAATTTAACTGATCAAGTGTTTTTAAGGAGCACATCAATTAATTATTTTTGTATTTGTTATTTAAGTAACAAGAATAGTTACATTAAAAATTAACAATCGGACTAGAGAAAACAGTATAAACTAAGGGGTTAATTCAATTTTGAAAAGAAGCTTGAATATAAGTAGAAATGTCACGAAGATACGACTCCAGAACAACAACATTTTCGCCAGAAGGACGATTATATCAAGTGGAATATGCACTTGAAGCAATTAATAACGCAGCTCCAACAGTCGGATTGCTTTGTAAAGAAGGGGTGATTTTGGGAGCAGATAAAGCAGTGGTGTCAAAATTACTTGATCAAGGTAAATCACTAGAAAAAATATATACAATAGATCGTCATATTATAGCTGCTGTAGCAGGTTTAACAGCTGATGCGAATATTTTGATTGCTCAAGCTCGTATAGACTCTCAAAGATACCAATATACATATGGTGAGGAGCAACCTGTAGAGCAATTAGTTACTCAAATATGTGACAGAAAACAAAGTTACACACAATTTGGTGGATTAAGGCCATTTGGTGTATCATTTTTATTCGCCGGTTATGACAAGAACTACGGATACCAATTATATCAATCTGACCCATCTGGTAACTTTTCTGGGTGGAAAGCTACCGCAATTGGTCAAAATAACCAAACTGCAACATCTCTTTTAAAACAAGAATGGAACGAAGACTTAACATTAGATCAAGGCCTTCACTTAGTCGCAAAAGTTTTAACTAAGACTATGGATACTACTTCCCCCACTGCAGACAAATTTGAGTTTTCTATTTTGACCTACAATCAAGAAACCAATAAGTGCACTCAAAAAGTTCTATCTGAAAAAGAAATCAAGGAATTGCTGGAAAAAGTCCAAAAGGAGATTGCTTCTGAAAATAATGCTAGGAATAACTCTGAAGCAAATCACCAGAGTTAAGTAAATATATATCTATAAATATTTATTATTACTCAAATTATAGTTGATTTTACAATTTGTGGGTGTTTTCCACCACTTAGTGAATTTTTGTAGATATTTCAAATCTATTTTAACATTAATAGGAGTAAATATACTAAATCTCACTTTAAATTCAAATTTTTATCTATTTTGGATTCAATTTATTTATTGTAATATGCATATTGTAGTACATAAATTGATTAAGTGCGATTTAGCCACATTACTTGAAGATTAATCAATTCAAACGGGCTAAAAAATTAACTAATTTCCTCTTAAAATAAAAAAGTCAAAATAATAAATTTCTATTTAATCTATTAAACTCATCAAATAATAACTAATGTACAAAATTTCCAATTATTAACGTTGCCAAATTAAATAAAAAAAAACAAGAAAAAACTAATGGTTAAAGAAAAATAGGTTACTCTACATTAATTAATCCTAAAAAAATTTGGTTGTAACCTAGAAATAATCATTAAATCAGTAGTAATTCAAAATAAAATGATTCAATTTCTATTTTATCACTTAAAGTTTAACAAATTTAGTGGAAATATAGTTAAATCGAATTACACAATTAATTGGAGCCATAAAACAAAGACTAAACATGAATATCAGAAATTTATAGCGCCAAAAGTAATAGTGGGCTCTCTGATTTTATGTACAACAGTAGGTATAAATACAAAAATAATAATCAATATAAACAAGAGGAGAGATAGGATTTGCTGAAAAAAAGATTGCAAATCTGAGCAATTCAGGGATAATAGTAAAGCTGGCCACAGGTCGAAGAAGTAGGTTCGAAAGTATTACTAAATAAGCAAGTGAAGGGCAGAGAAATTGTATATTAAAAGAATTAAAAAAAATTAATTGAAATCTATTTCAATGTTACTAAAAGAAATAGCATCATCAGCCAAAATTAGTTGGTGCCCATTATCCACTAAAAATAAGCTGAATTTGTTAGCTTTAGGAGGATGTGGATTGAATCCTTGTTTAAGTGTGGGATTAATTGATATTACTAATAATGGTAAAGATATTCAAAATATAGGAACATCTCCTTTGAACTCAAGATGCACATCAATAGCTTGGGGAAGTTTTAATTTAGAAGAGGATGCTTTGGGCCTTATTTGTACTGGATTGGAAGATGGTAATATGAGCTTATTTAAACCAATTTTGTCAACTTATGAAGGTAATAGAAAAGACGAAAAAATCTTACTCGAGAGGGTATGTGAAACAGCTATTCACCCTTCTGCAGTAAGCTGTTTAGAGTTCAATAAAACCGAACATCAATTACTTGCATCTGGAGGAAATGACGGGAAAGTCTATGTTATAGATTTGAGTGATGGTGTTACTGGAAATCTGAACTATTATGAGCCTGGAAAGGAAAACAAACATGGAGATTCTGATGTTACTGCTTTGAAATGGAATCCAAAAGTCTCTCATATTATGGCATCTTCTTCAAGTAATGGTACTACAGCAATTTGGGATTTAAAGATGAAAAAGAGTGCGATTTCATTTAGAGACCCTGCTCAGAGATCCAGACCTTCTACTTTAGCATGGGTTCCAAATCAACCAACACAAATAGTTGTGGGATATGACGATGATAGAAATCCTTCACTTCAGTTATGGGATTTAAGGAATGTTTCGTATCCATTCAAAGAAGCTGTATCTGCTCATCAAAAAGGAGTAATGTCTATTGAGTTTTCTCCTATTGACCCTAATTTATTGCTATCTTCAGGAAAGGATGGTAAGACAATATGTTGGACCCTCTTGAATAACCAACAACCAGAAGTATTTACAGAAATTCATTCTCAGCAATGGAGTGTTCAAAACCAATGGTCTCCTAACATTCCAAGAGTATTTGCAACAGCATCCCATAATGACAAGGTTAGTATTTATTCTTTATCATCTCACTCCAGTACAACGACTTATATACCATCTTGGTATCATAGGCCATGTGGTGTAAATTTCACATTTTCTGGTAAATTAGTCTCATTTTCAAGCAAATCCGTTAGTGGAGTACCCCAATTTAACTTATATAGGGTGCCTACTAATCCTGAAATAACTGCTCATGCAGACATGTTCGACCAACTATTTAATCAGGGAGATTTTATTGGCTATTGCAAAAGAAAATGCCAGGAATCAGAAAGCTCCAATGAAAAGCTTGCTTGGAGTTTGGTTGAAAATATGTTTTCTGAGGATTCTGCTGAGAGACGTCTATATATTGCTTCACTTTTGGGATTTGATTTCAACAATGCAAGTTCAGCAGCAAACCAATTTTTGGGAAGAAAGTGTGGAGTAATGTCACAACAGGAGAAGCTTCAGAAAGAACTCTCTACTATTAACCAGCAAAATAATATCAGTTTAATCCAAGATCCAGCTTCTACTACATTTACTGGAATGAGTTATCAAAATAGCCCAACTAATATGAATGGTAATCATCTTTCTGGTTTTCCAGGTTTGTCAGGGCAGATAACATCAAATCAATCTTTGGATCCAGAAAAGTTTTTCCAACAATTGGGAGAGAGTGAATCTCCTAATAATAATAAAGACAAAGAATCCGAATTGAATCAAAAAGGCGAGGATTCTATTGCCTTTGGACAAGATTACATCGGTGGAGGCAGATTCTGCAGCGAAGATGCTGACAATGAAATGATGAATAGTTCATTTAGTACTGCTTTACATGGCCAAGGCCAACAAGCAAGTCAAGATTTATTTAATTCAAACGTATTTCTCGGAAATAATATGGATAGTAATCATGGAATTTCTGTACAAGGAACTGAACTCTCTCATTCAAATGCAAATTCCGGTAAGTTACACAATTTAAGGCAAAAAGAATGGACAAAGCAAGAGGAAGATGTTGTTAATGAGTTAATTGTAACTGGAAATATTGATTATGCAATTGATGTTTGTGTACAAAGGGGCTTTTTTGCTGAAGCTTTTATTTTGGCGGTAAAATTCGGAGGCGTTTATCTTGACTATGTACAGAAACAATACTTGAAAAGACATGAATATCAATACACTCAAAAGATTTTGAGTCATGTAATTATGGATGACCTTGAGGACTTTGTCAAGACCAGTAATTTGGATCGTTGGAATGAAACATTAGCAATTATTTCAATCTATACTCAGCCTAGTGGAATAAGGTTGGGGGAGTATTCTTGTCAGTCAAAGTACTCAATGGAAAGCCTTTCTGAGTTATTAGCTAGAAGGTTACAGGAAGAAAAGTTTGATGTTAGATCTGCATTAGTTTGTTATTTGTGTGCTCGAAATTTCAGGAATTCTATTGAAATTTGGGGTAATATGGCATCTTGCCAAAGCTCACAAATACTTGGGCTTCAAGATTTTGTTGAAAAAGTAGCAATTCTTCAGGCGGCGACCAGATTTAATGGAAATGACGAGAACATTACAAAACAAGTTGTGCAATACGCTGAGATCCTTGCTAATTCTGGAAGGATTGTCGCAGCAATGAAGTATTTATCATCCTTGGCTTCCAATGATTACTCCATTAACTCTTCAACCCTTAGAGATAGGATATACAATGCGGCTCCAGAGTTGATGAACTCTTTGGGATTCAATAAACCAAATTTTCCTTTCACCATTATCGATGTAGTTCCATATGTTAATGCAAACGCCAATATTTATCAGCACCAGCAACTTCCAAATCAACAACACACAAACCAGCAACAACATGCCATGTTTGGAGTAAAAAATCCATTTCAATCAAATTTAAATATGGGAATGAATTCCTATCCAATGATGAGTAACAACAGCAGTAACAACAGTGGTGGTATGGGTATGGTGGGGCAAATAATGCAGCCTCCACCCCATTCTTCACACGGAATTCCTCCTCCTGGGCCTCCTTCGATCCTCTCAAATCAGTTACACCCTACTCCCTCTCCCCCTCCTCCTCCACCTTCATCTCTTCATTCTACAATAAATAGCGGGATTTCAGGTGGTATTCAGACGCAAAGTCAAGCTTTCAGACCAGGAATTCCCTCTTCTTCAGGACTTCCTCCTCCCCCTCCTTCATCTTCATCATTACTATCATCAGGTGGCTCGATAATGTCAAACCAACTACCTCCACCACCTCCACAGAATAATCCCACTCTAACTCGTCCAAGCTCCCCAAATGTCGTATATTCTCAAAACAACATTGGACTTGGAGCAGGAGGAGGATTATCTTCTGTTAACCAAGGTGTGAAACAATTTCTACCTCAATCAGCTCAGCCTCCATCAATTAATCCTCCAAATTCTTTTATGAACATCAATCAGAACAATTTTGGTGTTAACAATATTCCTCCTTCTATTCCAACTCCTCAGGTTTCGGCTTCAGTTCCACCTCCTGGCACAGTTCCTGTTCCGCCTCCAATGGCTCCATCCCCAATGCCGAATTCAAACAATAGCAGTATTATTGGAGGAGGAATGCAAGGAGTTAATCAGATTGCCCCTCCTTCAAATAGATCATCAATTACCACGGCCCCGCATAGTGGTGCTACTCCACCAATACCAGGAATGCCAGTACCATGGCCACTACCAACTGCAACACAACAGTTAAATTCGATAACATCAACAACAGCAAATGCAAACAAACAGATTCAGGAAGCATCTAAGAAGAACAATTCTCAGATAATGGGAAAGCCTCTATCTGCTCAGTTATTAGATATGGTAACAAATGTGGTAAATTCTAATTTAAATAACATTTTTGCAAATGATCCTAGAAAGAAGATGGATGCTCAGAAGAGGTTTGATGAACTTTTTGAAAAGCTTAGAGTTGGGAATGTTTCGGAAACTGTTTCATCCAAAGTTGTTAATCTTTGTCAAGCTTTACAAACAGGAGATTATTCAACTGCAAACAAAATCCATATTGATTTGAGCTCAACAGAGTGGGAGAATAATAAGAATTGGTTGATGGCTTTTAAGAGGATTATTCCCAAGTAAATTATTCAATTTTATATTACACAAAAATTATCAGTATTTTAATTATATATATATATATATATATATATATATATATATATATATTTATATGTATATATATAATTACATTAAACTTAACTAGTAAACAAGGTCATTTAAAGCATTTTTCCACTAGGAAATTATGATATTAAGTTTAAATTTGTTTTGTTTTCCCTATATTCTGTTAGTTACAGTTTATGTTTTTTCGTTTGGAATTCAGATAATATTTCACCTTAATAATTATCTTTATATTACTTGTTTTTCCTTATACTCATTTAAAATTGAGTAGTCTGGTACTACTAAGTACAGATCTCTAGATTGTCTTAATCGCTCGGCTTACAATAAAGATTCATTTATGAAAAGAATTCATAGAAAAAGAAGAGAAAAAAACAGAGAAAAAACTATTAATCTATATCATTTGACTATTCTTTTGAAATTTACTGATATGGTTCTTCCAAGAAAGTTGTTTCTGTTTGGCTTGGGTTTCAATAATTTCATTCTTTTGTTGTTTTTTAATAACTGAGACTTTTTTCTTCTTTTCAAGCTTAGTCTTTTCTGAATCATAGGATTTAATTAAGAGATTTTCAGGTATTTTGTAACCACCAGGAGTAGTAATGATTGATGTTGAATTTAATTGCTGACTATTTTTGCCATAATTTGCATTATTTATAACACTTTTGTTAATTATTCTAACTTTATCATATGTAACAGCCTCTTCTTGATCATAATCCAAATATTTAATAATATAACCGTTTTGATTCAAACCAATAATAACAGAATTATACCAATTACCATCCTCTTCATACAAAACTTGAACTTTTTCTCCCACAGATAAACCCTTAAATTGTGTTAAAAGCTTTAATTCCTGAAACTGAAAACTAATAGTTTCTGAATTTTTGCCAAATAATGAAATTAAATAACTATTGGTATTCGAATCAGAAGTTAAAATAGGGTCTCTTGATTTAATTCTACCAAATCTTTTATTTCCTTTATAAAAAACTTCGACTATCCTTCCAATATTCACATCCTCAAAACTGTTATCACCATTTTTCTTTTTATTTTCAATCAATTCTTCGACAAGCTGTATAACTTCAATTAAATCGCCTCTGACTTCTTTAAAAATATCATAATTTGGATCATCAGCTTTCAGTTCCAAAAGCTTTTCATCTATTTTTCTTAGTTGTTCACGGTTATCATTTAATCTTCTTAATAATTGCTCATATGTTTCTTGAAAAATCTCCATTAACCAATTGCACGTGTCACCCCGCCACTTTAAAAAATAATTAGTGGGAAAAAAATGAATGAAATAATGAAAAATTAACACAAAGAAGAAATATTTAAACGATTCTTTTTCTCCATAAATAATTTTAGTAAATAAAGTGGGAAATTAATTATAATAAGTTTTTTTTATCACTATAATAAATTGTAAAAAGGGAAAAAATGGATGAAGAACTTAATGACCTATTTAAAGAGTTAGAAAGAGTACAAAACCAAGAAATAAATAAAAATATAATAAATGAGAGAACATGCATTGAGATTTTATACAAGTTGATAAAGAAGAAAGGCTTGAATTTAATAACTAGCTTGGATGGGGAAACTTTTTACACACATAAATATTTGTATGACGAGATTCATAATTTATTGGAGAAACAAGGAAGAATTTCAATTAATGATATTTCTAAGACTATGAAAATTTCTGTGGAAATAATACTCAAACTAACAAAAGGTATGGAAAATGATAATAACTATATTTTCTACAAGAATGATATAATGACTAGAAAATATATTGATGATATTTTTTATAATTTAAATCAAGAATTACAGGACTTACATATAATGGGACTAATGAAATTTTCACAAAAAACCGATCTTTCTATTGATTTTATTAAAGAAGAAATTAAAAAAAGAACTAATATTAAAGATTCTGAGATTAAAGGTACAATAGTTTTTGAATCAAACAATAATCCTTTGATCATTTCGGACACATATTACAGAATTATTGAATATATTATCAAAGGTACACTTTTGGTAGCTAAAAAACCTTTATATCTAGATCAAATTATAGATATTAAGATTCAAAATATCTCAGTAATAATACAAACAACCAAAAATTTGATTGAAAAGAACTGGATTAAAGGATTTATTTATGAAAATAAAACTTATATTCCTGAGATTTTTATTCAAGAAGAAATATTTAATTTAATAAATTACTTTAATAATAACGGATTTTTAGAAATTGAAAAAATCAAAGTTATTTTGAGATATTCTGAAAAAAATTTGGATATTAAAAACCAAAAAATTATTGAATGGTCTAAATCTCACCTGAATGATAATATTATTATTTTTGACGATTTGTTTATTATAAATGCTCATAAATTAGAAATCATAAGGGATAATATTTTGAATTCATGTTTCGAGCTAAATCCTGGATATATTTACATTAATCACCTTCTTCCATATATTTTAACTAGTGATATTAATAAAAATTGCCATTTTGATATTATTAAACTAATAAACAAATTAAGAAATAACCCGATTGAGATTCAAACAAATAACTGGCTCTTTGTCATTTTTGATAGGCCTGACTCATTCTATATTTCAAATCTTGATTACTCTTTTCTTAAACTTCGCCTTGAGTTTGAACCTAAAAACAGTAATAATTACTTTGAAGATATACAAGATCTATCAAACAAATGTTTTAAATTTGATTCAAATACTAACATTTTTAATAATAACTATCCCAACACACTTTTATTCATAACTAATTTTAACTTGGTTATCAATTCAAGAATCATTTCCCAATTCCAAAATTTTATTTTTAATAAACTAGAAAATATTATAAACACTATGTTTTTCCCTTCCTTTCAACTTCTTCCTATTCCAATCTCTGAATTCAAGTCCAATAAATCAAAAAATGAAGTAGAAACTATCAAGTATGTTTACAATTTTATTAATGAATTAGTTTTCAAAAACAACATCAAAAATCTCTTTTTTTCTGAGTTCAAGCAAGAATGGGACGAAATTATTAATGATAACCCAAAAAATACGGAAACTTTCTCATTATCAAATGCTTCTAATGACATTCAAACTATTGAAACTAATTTTCAAGATTTATTCTGGCATCTAATTATTTGCTCAATCGCACCTTTCATTGTACATATCTATAATGAACGCATGAAATTTATTTATGATCCCTCTAATATTTCGAGAACTTTCCACATTGAAGACGATTAGGTACTATTTTCCTATAGGTATTTATTTTTTACATGTAAAATTTTATTTTTAATTTTCCGGGATTCTAAGTTTTCAACCTGCTTTCTTATATTAGTTTTGGCGCTTAAATCCATTTTTTCACATGAATTTCTTTTTTTTCATTTAGGCGAATTAAAACAAAAGAAATTACTATTTATAATAAAAAATCACAAATTAACAAAAATCCGAATATTTTGAATTAATCAGTTAATTTTATTCATTATATTCACAAATTTTTATAATGCTCTTTAATCTCGGACTGCTATTATAGTGTTATTATGTTTATTTAATGAACAGGTAAGTATCGACTATTTCTTTCAAAAAATACATTACGTATTATTTATATACTATAAATAAATTAACTATTCCTACCCATAATCAATTGTGCGTTAATGTATTATTATTTCATTTACAAATTGTTCTAATAATTTACTTTAGAGTTTTCCAGTCATTACGTAGAAGGGTTTCAAGTTCAGAAACTTCTAATAGTCAAAATTCCACTGATAATAATAATATTAATGATAATGATAATAACTCTAATAATTCACAAGGTGCAAAAAATAAACAAGATTCAAAAAATGTAAAAAATATTAAGCAATCAAATACTTCTAATACGTCATCCTCTTCTACACAAAATACTGGTTCAAACAATACCTATGATGATCTCAACTTATCAAAAAATGACGAAACTCAAGTTAAATCATCTCCTACCACTGATTCTCATTTAATCACTAACTGCTCCTCATCAAATGTAAATACATTCTTAAATACTGATTTAGACGACCATTTAAAACTAAAAGTGTCTTCAAATAGTAAATACAACAACTCTTCTCGAAATTTTGAGATAAACAAATCAGAATCAGTAAATTTTGATGTCAATATTTCTTTTCCTCCAATAGAGTTTATCAAAAATGAAAAATTTGCATTTCTTCAAGCTTTTTGCATAGATCATGAGGATGAAAGCAATAGGTCTTCAGATGAAGAATCTAATACCAACAAAAAATTTAATCAAGAAGTTGCTGATATAAATAGCGATTTTGGAAATCATTCTGATATTGAATCAAACTATTTAAGTAATTCAAATCTTTTATTACCTACTGGATTAATTGAAACAAGCCATGGTATTTCTCTTACTGATGATCCGTTTTCTGCGCTTCCTTTATTACAAAATATTAAGTCCCCTGATGATATTTTATTGCTTATTAAGAAAAAACTTATTGCATGTTGCATTACATTCAACTTTACAAATAATTCTTATTCAAATCTTAAAGAAAAAAAAAGAGAAACCTTATTGGAGCTTGTTGAATATATTAATAATAATGATCAAATTTTTCAAGAAGAAATAATACCTGATGTACTCTTAATGATCACAAGTAACATATTTAGGCCATTCAATCAGTGCCATGCTAACCTTAACACAGGAAATTCTTTCTTGCAATCTAACAATGCTTCTGGTAATACAAGTAATATAAGTATTCATTCATCTAATAATTCTACTAATAATGGATCATCTTTAAATGGTTCTGTTGGTAATTCTATCTCGGAATCCAAAGATGATGAACAACTTTTAGAACCTAGTTGGCCACACTTGCTTGTTATTTATGAGTTTTTTCTCAGATTTGTTATTAGCCCCCAATTTAGTACAAAAGTTGCAAAAAAATACATTGATAATACTTTTATCCTTAAACTCATTGATTTATTCCAAAGTTTTGATCCCAGAGAAAGAGATTATCTTAAAACGATTCTACATAGAATTTATGGTAAAATCATGCCAAGAAGAAGTTGTATTAGAAAATCTATGAAACACATCTTCTTAAGAGTTATCATTGATGGTGAACCTTACAATGGAATTGCTGAATTACTCGAAATTTTTGTCTCTATTGTTAATGGTTTTACAATTCCTCTTAAAGAAGAACATAAAATATTTCTTGAAACTGCACTTATTCCATTACATAAAGCAAAATATATTTCATCTTTCCATCAACAATTGATCTACTGCTTAATACAATATATTGAGAAAGATACCAAACTCTCTGTACCTATTATAGAAGGTGTACTTAAATATTGGCCAATTACTAATTCATCCAAACAAATTCTATTTCTAAATGAACTTGAAGAACTTCTTGAAATTACTCCTACAAATTATATTGAACCAATTCTAATCCCAATTTTTGAAAGGCTTGCAAGTTGTATTCAAAGTCCACATTTCCATGTTGCTGAGAGAGTATTGTATCTTTGGAATAATGATATCATTGTTAACCTTATTAATGAATATAAATATGAAATATATCCTGTACTTATTAAAGCATTATCATGTAATGGCAAAAAATTACATTGGAATCCAACTGTACATGGGTTATCATTTGTTGTTAATAAAGTTCTATCAGATACAGACCCTGAATTATTTTCACAAATTATTGAACAATTTAATGACGATAGTGCTAATGTTGAGATTCAAAAAAAAGAAAGGGAAGAATATTGGAAGTACATTATTGAGCTTGCAGAAAGTATGGATTAATCCGAAATATTACTGTTAATATTTTTTAGAACTACTATTAAATTTATTATGATAATTATTTTTTATTTATTAATATTATTTAGAATATTTATCCTCGGGTAATATTAGATTTAAACAAGAAAACATATAATTTTTTTTTTAAATAAATGAAAGAAACTCTCAACTTCATTTTAATTATTTTGATTCATTATTTCAGAGATCTCACTATTAATAAATTCCAATGCATTACTACCGCCAGATGACCAACTACTTCCATATATACCATGGAAACCTAAACAAATAACCAAAAAATTGAAATATGTACATTTTTTTCAATTATTAAAAATTGTTCGTAACTTACCTGAAAAAATTCTCAATTTTGCATTTACTTTCAATTTCAATAAAGTTTCATACATTAATCTTCCCTCATCATAAAGTATATCACTTTTCATCAATACAATACTTGTTTTTGGAAACTTTCTAAGAATATTTGCAGGGGCTAATAAAGGTTGTGATCTCCAATCAAAATAACTCTCTATATACTTAGATTGATATTGTTTTTCAAACCATAATAATGAACTCAAAGTTAAGAATCCAAATTTATAGTTTTTTAATTTAGAATTTGTGACGCATTTTTGGCACAATGCAGGATAAATTAATCCTAAGAATTTAACATGGTCAACCCATTTACAGTAATTGTGAAATCTTTTTGATAATACATTATTATTACGTCTTTTACTTTGATCTTTAATACTCAAACATGATGCAATTGAGGATGTAGCTAAACTACCTCCTGCTGAATCTCCTAATACAACAAGCTTATTTGGATTTAGACCTAATCTTTCTGCATTACTATGTATCCATGAAATTGATGCAATAACATCTTCCAATGGGATTGGATACTTCCATTTTGGTGATTTTCTATACCCAATATAAACAATAATGCTTGGTTTATTTAATTTTCCCAATTGAATTGCATGTTTTTGTAATACCTTCTCATATGTATTCATATCACCAAATACAAATCCTCCTCCGTGAACATATATAACAATCCCTGGAGATTCTGCTTTATCATCTTTATTAATAGTTGAAATATTATCATTTTCATAAACAACCTTGACTTTTGACTCATCAAAATATAAATTTGAACATAATTTTTTTGTAGAACACTTTACTGGTCGAATTAGATTTTGTTTTAATTTATTATTGTTCTCTAATAATTTTTTACTAACTATAAAATTTACAACAACTTCATCTTTATGTAGCTCTCTATTCATATCCATTGAAATTCCATCAGTTAATTCACCAGATTCGTCAATCTCAATCCAATGCCTATTTCCCATAATATTTTCAATTTCTAAGGATTCATACTCATCTAAAATACTCCACTCTTGATTTTCTCCATACCCAATGCTATGTTCTACTATAATACCCAATTCATTCTTATTTGAAAAGCCAAAGATCAAATTTTTGTAAATAGAACAATCATTGCTTCTGAACTTTTCTATTTCTTCATAGTTAGTCAGTGAAACTACATTTCTAAATAGTGAATATGTATAAATCATCCTTCCAATAATGTTTTCTGTAAATGTTAAATTTTCATCATTCATTATGTTGTACAAAATTATTCTAAAAATTATTTTAAATGATTTTTTATATGTTTTTGAATAATCCCAATTCAATTACTTACCCTATTATTAACACAATCATAATGGTGTATTTTCCTTTTAAAACTCTTGTTATATTAATTTGAGTCATTTTCCTAAACTATTAAAAATTAACAAAATATTACTAAAAAATTAATTAAAAAATAATATATTATTACTCTTTTTCATTTTATTGCATTGAAAGAATTTACATAATACTTTCTAAATTGGCACGTGTCATGTGGGGAAGTCTTTTGCATGTATATTTATTCTAATTGCTATTACGTGTTAAGTGGCCAAAAATTCAAAAAAAAAAATTATAAATTTGAGAAAGAATATTAAAAACAAAAATAAATTTATAAAAGTTTAAAATCATTATTGCATAAATATTTGAATAATTATATGTTTAGTAATAGTTCAATAATAGCAATATAAATGTCTTTACAGATTAAAGATCTAAGCATGATGATAAATTATGTTAAAATTTGTCTTCATTATAACTGTTATAATAATTGATATTATTCCCATTAAATTGATTAATACTGTGTTGGATGTGTTGATTAGGAGAAAGCATATAAGATTTCTGTAATTCTTGATTTACATTGTGATAGTGGTTGACGTATCTATTTATTCCTTGCTTACTTATATTTTCCTGATTATTTTGTGGTTTTTTAAAATATTTTGGATATATTTGTGCCGATTGGATATTAGGAATTGGCATTTGCATCCCTTGATATTGAACTTCTCCTTTCCTGTAATAATCTAATATGGGATTTTTATTTTGTTCCAATGATTCGTTTTCAGACAAAATATTTCTTAATTGGCTTTTACTGGCATATAATAGTCTCCTTAATCTGAAATCTTTACTAGAAACAGACTTAATATCTTGAACTTGAACTGTTCTTCTTTTAGCTCTCTTAGTAAAGTTCCATGAAAAACTTGTCAAGTCTCTAACGAAAAGTTCACAAGCAATTGCTAAAAGTGCAGGAACTTCACTTCCAATCATATGATTTACAGCTCCAGAGCATTTAATTATTTTCTTGATTTTTGTATGAGGAAGGCACCTACTCAAAATTTTTAGCTCATCTTTATCAAACACTGGTATATTAGATTGTTGTTCTTGTGTTATATAATTTTTTGAAACTATATTAATACCTTCTCTTGAGCATATACTTGAATTACTCACCAGAGAGGATGATGAAACCACAGAATTACAACTAGAAGATGCTGATACAGATGAAGGTCCTATGAATGATGTAGAATTTAAAGCAAATGAGGAAAGTGATGCTTGGTTAAGATGAGACGAGCCATTAAATTCCAAAGTTGAAATATCACTAAAAGATTTTTTTGGACCTTTTATATAATCTTTGTTCAAATAATCTTGGTTAATTGCTGATATTTCATTATTCTGAAGTTCACTTTGTATACTTAACATACTGTCAACATTATATTCAATCATTTCACTATGAGTTTGGGCTACGTATTCCATTATACTTTGATTTTCCGGAAAGTTCATGAAGATATTTTTACATATATATAAATCAATAAATCAAAATCTTGAAATTTGTTCAAGTGGAATAGTATTATTTTGCAGTTGTTTGTTTGGTTTAATAATTATTTTAATTTTGTATAAAGTTATATAATTTTATGTTCCAAAATTCAGAATTCAATATAAGTAAAGAGGCCTGTTTAATAATATTACAAGAACCAGATTCAAAAATAGCTGTCTAAAGAAATAGAGATGGTCTTGGTTTATTTCTATAGAGATCTTATAGCTCACTTTTACCTACACTGACATAAATTCTCCAATGCTCAATTTTGGCGCCAATGCGATTTTTATTTTCCCATTTAAATTCATAAACAAGGAATAACTACAAGCAGTTAAATGGTCAAAAAAGCCACCTGGCGGGAAATTAATAACAAAAAAAATGAGAAAAAAACGTGTAAAATAAGTTTATACAAGAATATTCTAAACAAAACCTAGCAGCAGGATCTTTTTTTGCTTCCTTTAGAGTTCAGATCAACTTTTATTGGGTCTACACGTACTCCTTGGGTACCTAAAGGAAGGGTTGCTCTGTTCAAGTCATGTTGGTTTGCAGTGAGCTGTCTTTCGCTCCTTAATGTATAAATTTCAGATAGAATACGGTGAAATGCTTCATCTACATTTGATGAGTTTAGGGCGGAGGCCTCCATACATGCCATACCTTCTCTTTCTGAAAAAGCACAGGCTTCTTCTTGAGTTACTGTTCTAAGATTCCTTAGATCTGATTTGTTACCAACGAGTAAAACAACAATGTTAGGATCAGCATGATCTCTTAATTCCTTAAGCCACCTTTCAACATTCTCGAAAGATGATCTTTTTGAAATATCATAGACTAGTAATGCCCCTACTGCTCCTCTATAGTATGCAGATGTTATTGCTCTGTATCTTTCTTGCCCAGCTGTATCCCATATTTGAGCCTTAATAACTTTTCCTTCAGTAATTATGCTTTTTGTAGCAAATTCCACGCCAATTGTGGATTTTGATTCTAAATTAAACTCATCTCTAGTAAACCTATGTAGAAAATACGAATATTAAGATTTATTACTATATTGTTATCGTAATAAAAATAACATACCTTGAAAGTAAATTAGATTTTCCCACTCCCGAATCACCAATTAGAACAACTGATAACAATAAATTAAATGGTATTAGTGATTTTACAGAAATTTTTCGGAAATTTAAACTTACTTTTGTATAGATAGTCATAATGCTCATCCTTTGAACTCATGTTTTATATAATCAAAAAAATTTTTGAGAAAATTGCCCTTCAGACTTGCTAATTTCAAATATTAAATATAGAAACTTTCAGAAGATAATTTTCCGCAAATTTTTGTAATCCTATTAATTTTCCTATTATTATCTGAACTTGCTACTGAAACTTGAGTTAATCAAATCCTCTTTATCAGTCTGTCGAGTCTCGAATGATTTAATGTCAATCCAAGCGAGACTTCGACTGAACTAATTAGTGTCAAATTTGATAAGAAATAATTTTAAACAAAGAATTTCTCAGCTTAATTTTATTCACAATTTAATCCTTTTTCGACTTTGTCCTCACATAAAAATATTACAAAAACTATGAGGGGAATACTTTGGGCGCCGAAAAAGCTCATGTCTAATTCAATAGCATGCATAATTAGAAACATTTATAACTTGAAAATAAAGAAAACAAACGAGGAGCAGGTAAGAAGCAAAGTTTAGGGAATATTTAGCAATATATAAGAAATTATTACATGTATAGCAGGTATACTATATATATTCTAATTATTAATAATTCGGAAGGTATATAAACAATCTATAAGTATAAGTTCAACTATTTTACATTCCTCAAATCAATTTTCTTTGTTAATCTACGTTTACAACTCCTTTCATTTCTTTCAAAAATATCACAGAAATCCGTGTAACTTAACTCGATATTTTTTAGAGACTCTTTACTATATGAATTCGTTGAATCTGACTCTACTTTGGAGTCGTCATCATCTTCCTGTGAATTAGATGAGTTTGTTTGGACTTGAAGCCAAGCATTTTGAATTTTTTTAAAATTTTCACTATTGCCATATTTCCCCCAAAATAACGCAGAGTTTATCTCTTCTTCGCACAAATTAAGACATAAAATCTCACTAAGTTCCTTCATTTCTTTAAAGGAAATAGTCTTACTTTTATCACCCCCAGTAATTAAAACCCAGATTCGGTCCTTTATTTCTTGTTCTTGTAATGCAAGCTCAACTATATGGTTAGGGAACTTTATTTCCGGTTCTTGCTGTTCTTGCATAGCTCACTGAATTTCAAAGATTATCTCATAAGTCAACTGATAGAATAAATTTATTCAACTTTTAAAATAAGCAACCGATTATAAATTATCAATAGATATATACCTTTAATATCTATGTTAATTGGGTTTGGCGCCAAAGTTGTGGCTATATAATTTAAGGTTTGTTGTCATCAATCCAAGAAACAAACTGATTAAGAACTTCCTCTTGAGATGAGTAGTCAAGGTTTCGAACGAGTTCCAGAATCTGTAGTCTGTTTGTAAAATTCTCATAATAATCTGAAGGAAGTGGGAATTTAGACAATTCGCCACCCTCAGTATTAATGTCATGTTTTGTGTCTAATAATTCCACCATAAAGAGCTTTTCTGGTTTAATTATGTTAAAGTTGGAGAGAAAACTTATCGGAAACCTCCAATTTTGTGTCAGTAAATTATTTTCGTAAGAAATTATGTAAGATGTCTTTCTATTTAAACAGTGTATATTGTATGGTCCAATTACAATATTATCTGAGCTCTTAAGTATAGGGGAGAACTGGGAGTGGAGAAAAATACTTATTTTATCACAGTTAATCAATGTTGCAAACATACAATCAGTATGTATAAAAGAGTTCTTGCAATTCTCGATTTGAATGTTTGCAATCAAATCTAAACAATAAATATTACATTGGTTGCAGTCTCGGATAAATAGGTACTCAACAGACCTGGTAATATATATTTCCAAATTACTTGAGTTTGAAATTATTATATTTCTTGCTTCAAAATCTATTATTTCTTCTTTTTCTGAAACTATTTCAAAAATTTCACCTTTCACTTCATTCAAGTTATGCACCAATTCTCTCTGATCAAAATTGACAGAATGTACGACTTTATTTGAGAGAAAATAAGAAATTCTTTCAGAATCATTCCCTCCATGAACATTATTTACTAAATAGTAATCATCCAGAACACCATGATTAATTATTGTCCAAGTATTATTTAGTAAAATACATAATTGTATTTCTCCTGAACTGTCTGTAACAATATGATAATTAAATGCATTTATTGTGAATTCGGAAATTGCTATACTATTTCCCTTCATTTTCTTTTGATCAACAGACTTATGATTTTTATAAGCAGAATTTTTCTCCAATTTAATTGCATTAAAGTCAAAATTCATATTTTCATGTTCATCCTGCTCTTTATCACAGTCATAAGTGAACACCTTATCAAAAAACATTTCAAATGAAGCCGGAACATTCACTGAGTTGTATTTAGATTCTTTTTCTTCCTTTGTGAATAATGATAAAATCTTTATAAAAGTGGCTGAGTTCCTCTGGAAAAATTTTGCAATTGTAATATAGCTCTCTTTAGAATATAAACTTGAAGACATCTCAACCTTCTGTGTAGATTGATTAGAAAATATAAATTGAGTTAAAATAAAGAGAGATATCATTTCAAAACATATACTAATATTTTCTGCCATTCTGTATTCTCTAAACTGACCTCTCTGACACTTCTCATAAATATCTATGAAACTGTCCCCATCAATCCATTGGCAAATTGAGTCTATTTCTCCTCCATTTAAAACTTCACTCATTCTCATAGAGAGTTCAAAATCTTTCAGAAATACTATGCTTGACAGGCGCATCCAGTAAAATTTCAAACTATCTGAAGTAAAGAGATATAACTTCTCCACTTCAAATTGTCCCAATAATTTCTTCTTCAAAGTCCAGAAAGCAACACTTACGTTACTCGCCTTTTTCAGAAGTACATTTGAACTATCTAATCTAAAAAGGCACTTTTTTCCAAGTATATATTCTTGGCCAAAAATGAAGTCTCTCCATTGAAAATAGTTCAGAAACCTTGATGATCCAATGAACTCTCTTAGTAAGGATATATAAAGAAACAAAATTTCTTCGTCCCAAAATTTTGCCTCACTAAATTCCAACCCCACATATAATTGAGACACTATTTCAAAATTCGGGAGTAATATAAAGTTCATTGATGCAAAAATTCCCACTCAGTCACACCAAATATACACAAACTTTAATATGCAGGATTTCCTGCAAATATTTTATTTCTATCCTTTTCCCACGCAATTACTATTCAATTCTTATATGTATTATTTTTATTATAATTTATAGTTACTATTGACCCTCCTTTCATTTTTAAAAAACCCGCCAAACCCGGTTAATGTGTTTTTAAGTAATTTCAGATCGCACCTTAAAAAAAAAAGAAAAAGAAAGAAAAAATCTATTTTGCAAATTTTTTTTTTTTAAATCAGTTGGAAATTAAATATAAACACAATTAACTTATGAAAATATTAAGGAAGCTCTTTTTACCTAAGTTTTGAAACATTGATTTATTAATACCTTGAAAGAGTTGGAGAAATTAATTAACACAATAAATTAGTTTTAAACAAAATGTATTCTTCAGTTACTAGAATTCTAACGGCTTTATTATTTCCGTTTACGCTGGAATTCTGGAAAACCAATGGAATTATGTTTACTTTATCGAGTATTTTCCTTATATTATTTTGGTACTATTTGGTAAATAAACTCAATACAGATCAAAATAAAATGAGATGCCTTTTCCAGTATATTTCTTCCGCCATAATCTCTTTCATATGTTGGCCTATTGTAATTGATCTCTGGCTTAAATATTTCCAATTTGGGATGGACATGGCAAAATGGCTCGATTATAATTCTTATGGATATTACAAACTAGTATTAAATATATTCTTATCATCACTTATATTCGACCTTATTTTTGGAGTTCTGTATTTCAGAAAGCAAATGTTCATTCTAAATGGCTGGTTCCATCATACTGCTTACATTATTTTAACCTTATATATAATGCGCTGGAAGTCTTATAATATATTTCTCATTGCTGCCCCTGAAGAAATTCCAACATATTTTATATCAATTTATGTTATTTTTCCGCAAAATAACAGGAAATTTTCGCAAAAGATGTTTTTTATCACATTTTTCATTTTTAGAATTGCGTATCATATATCAGGTTACTCATTATTATTCCTTCCAACTAATAATAGGCAAGTTACGCAAATCTGGATACCCACGTCACTTACTATATTTGCTCACTGCTATTGGTATCTTCTCTGGCTCAGAAAGCATTGGAATTCATTATTCCACTCAGAAGAAATCCCATACTCCAAAGAGAATTTAAATGTTGCCAAGAATAATACAGATAAAGAATATGGTTGTATAGACTATTTTGATCACTACAGCAATATTGAACAGGAAATTGATTAGTGTATTTGTTTTTTTTTCGAATATTCGTATGTATCATTGTTTAACGGATTTATTCGGAATGGAAGCACAAGAATGGAAGTGTTTTTTATTAGTTATTTTTCGTAATATTTATAGAATATTCATTAAATATTGTATTCTTTGTTTAGTAGTTTTAAATGCATGCATTATTGCTTCACAATTTATATAATTAATTTTACTTTTTAAGAATAATATTTGGGTTTTATATCTTAAGTTAAATCTAATTTTTAAACTAAAGTCAATACCTCTTCGGATTAATGTTTTCATTTATTTTCTTTTTCTTTCATTGTATTCAAGTTACCAGCCAGATGAACAGGCGGGAAATTTTTGAATCTCATAGAAATTTGGGATTTATTTTTCTAAAGTGAGGTTATCTAATCAATAAAGAAAAATTTTTGGAAAGAAAAGAAATATAATCTAAGAAAATATAGTAAATAAATGGGCTATTTGTTTCAAAGACGTAACCTTGTTGAATAAACAGGAGAAAATGTCAGACATGGATGAATTGAGTGTGCAAGACTACATAGATATTTGCAAGGAGGCTGGAAATTATAAGCAAGCAATATTTTGGTGTGATTTAGCATCCGCTCAGGAGTCAGAAGACACAAGAAATGGCAGTTCTCTTAATAATAATTTAATGGTTGATCTAATAGATTGTAATGGCGAAGAAATAAAGATTCCCCAACTTAGAGGAACAAAGTCGGTCGAATACTTACTAGAAATGGCAGCCCTATATATGTTAGATGGAAAAGAAGTCTGTGTGGAATCTGTTTTAAAAAGAATTAATCCAGAAGATTTAGAAAAAATGGATTGCAGCGTGAATAATGAGAATATTTCAGGTTTTTCTGAAAACAAAACAAGGCAATCACCAATTGAGCTTTCTGAGGGTTTTAACCAGACCAAATTGATAGATGGAGTTGAAGAAGATATTAGCATGGAGATCGAAACTAACTCCCTACTTTCCAGGAAACTTTTACTGGAGGCCCAATATCTATACTCCGTACACAGATATGAGGAATGTCTATCTCTCATAGAATCGAGCATTGATCTTTCTAGTTTCGATACATTTATATCCTCCTCTATACATACTTTGGCAGCAGATTCATTTTCCTCCATTGGGAATATTGAATACGCAACTATGTTATATGAAACGGCTTTGTATGAGTCTCATCATGCAGTGGAAGCTTTAGATTATTTACTACAACTTCCATACTCTTCTGACTCCACTAAACAAACTTTACTAACAAATATAATAGGATCTCCAATAGGGGAAATTGACAAGGCTTGGCTGAGGAATTATCTTCATCCTTTTCAAAATGTTGAAAAGAATAATTCAGAAAATGGTACTACTGTATTCAGATCAGCATCTCCATCTCTTTCTCCTAACAGAAGAAAAGAAAAACGGCTCCTTCCAACATCTCCAATGAATGTAGCATCCAGACTTACAGTTGATAACCCTGATAAGATTGCATTCAGAAATAATTATATTGAGACTTCCGACAATAAAATGATTCGTGATGATTTGAGAATTTTAGATAATATTGCAATTGGGGCAAAGACTGAATTTGGGCTTAGGCTAGCCACTATTTATATATATAGATTTATTTGCCAAAGCAATTTGGTCTGCGGTTATATTCTTGGGTGCAATATTTGGATGCAGCTTTTCAGGAAAGATGAAAAAGGTGATGAAAAACACTACTACAATTATGGGGATCCACTACCAACAATTTTTAATGATAGTTATAAATCCTTTAACTATTCAACGCCAGCACTTTGTGAGTTCATCAACATGTTTAGTCTATGTATTGTTTGTAAATTGTACACAGAGATTAGTATTTGCCAATCATCAACCCCTAAGGAGTTAAATGACTACCTTACCTTATTGAATTGCTTTATTGTGATTTTGGACTATTATGGAGGAAGCTCAGAAACTATTAAGAAGACTTCCAAAGATGGAAGTTTAACGTTTTCCACTAAACTATTCAATTCAAGACTTTTTGGAAAGAATTCAGATGACATTTGTTGTGGGATCAACTTTAATGGTAATAATCTTGGGAATGATTTAAACTATGGGAATGAAAGTAATGCAGTAACAAGTACCAATTCTTGGTACAAGAAGCTTTTTCCTAATAACATCTTAGTTAGTAGCTTTTTTTTTGTAAAAGCTTCTTTCCTGTTTGTATCTGCAATTGGTACAGTTCACTCGCGTTCAGAAAGCTCAATACAGACTGTTAGAAGCTTGTTGAGAACCTCCATGTATTTTCTAAAAAGAAGTATCAACTTTAATTATATTATGTTACCTTCCTACTATCTTTGGGTGAACATTTATTCTATTCTTGGGCAATGGGATGATGCTGTGGTCATTTTCAGAAGAATTATCAGACTGTTTCCATCAACCAATTTGTCGGTATCTTCAGCTACTTCTCTACTGCTTCAAAGAGTCCAACTTGAGAAAGATCTTCGAATTTCAGATTTACTGAATCAATGTGTAGGATGGGCTACTAAAGGACTTCAAATTAATAAAGACACTCCTTTCATTCATAATTCTCTGGGAATTTGTGCATATTATGAAAAGAAGTATGACATTGCAATTGGATACTTCCAGAAAGCATTTAATTGTTTGTGTAGCCAAAATCAAGATGGATCGGAGAACATCTACACAAATAATGCACCTTCTACGTCCATTTTCGATCAAATCTTATTTAAAAATCCTGGAACACCGAACTTCAACTCATCCCTCTTTTCCTTTAATCCTCTGCCATTCATCATTTCTGTAAATCTTGCTTTATCATACCTAATGGGAGGACATTACCAAAATGCCATAGACAGCTTATCTGTATTATTCACCTCCAAAAAATATTTTCATCATGCCTTCTTCGATCCCACATTCCTTCAATACATTTACATGATTTTTGGGATTTCTTATCATCTGCTTGATAATGCCAAAGAAGCTTGCAATTATTACGAGCTCTTCCTTTCTCTTCCTACTAATGATGAAATACTTGATGAACTAGAAGAGTGCCCAAACACTGACGCAATAAATTCCATTAAAATTCCGGGAAATGATGTCATTCAAATGATTATTTCCGGAGAACAAAACAAATATTTTTCAAAAGTTTTTATCAAGAACATTTCTGAGTTTTACCACTCCTTAATGCAGAATACTCAATGAGCAAATTATAACAAAAATAGTGCTTTTTTTGTCTGCAAATATTTATTACTGATTTTATTGCTATTATTTTGCATCTAATATACCACTATCATCTAAGTTGATAATTATATTAAACCAGACTCTGTTTTTTGTTTTTCTACCTATTTATTTTATTGATTTTACTAAGGTAACATTGGCGCCATACGTGGTGCACATGCAATATTTTTATTAATAAGATTAACTTAAAAAAAAGAAATTAGAGAAAATCACTAAAAATATTTCGATCGTAAAATCTCTGTTTGATTAGAAAATATAATCAATTTTATTTAAATAACTAAAGTTACGATGAAATAAAAAGTGAAGAAAAAAATAATGATTCAAGTTAATAAGAGGGGAAAAAGGGGGGAGGGGGGGTAGGAGTAGCAGAAAACAGAAAAGTAAATAAGAATCTAGAAAGTATAAACTAAATAAGAGGATTTCAAATGGTAATTTAATAAAGAATTAATATTAGTGATGTGAAATCAAAAAAAAAGAAGTGGGCTCTCTGATGAGGAAATTATGAAAGAAAAAAAAAAATTACAAGAAATAATTGAAAATAAGAAAATTTTTAAGGTTAGATGGACAGTTTCCTTCGACAGTGATAGTGAATATCCTATAAAAAATTCAAATTCAAAAAGCAAGTACTGGAAATATGAGCAGGATGGCTTTCGAGAAGAAGGATGGGATAAAGAGTTAGGGATTCCAAAAGTCATTTTAAGTGAGGTAGAAAATCTGATGCAAGGAAGAGCATTATATATAAGAAATGCAAGTCATTATGGGCAAAGAAGACTGGACTCAGTACTCAATAATTCGATAATTATGGAAAAGGGAAAATTTGATATAGATTTAATGGATACAAAAAGAAGCCAAGTAAGTGAAGCTCCTCAAAGTTTTGAAAACACAAAAAATGAATGTTCTAAAACAAACTTAAGTCAGGATTTGCCACACTCCAGTACACCAAATTTTCCTAACCATCCAGAGGAGTCATTTTATGCTTTAATTGATGAAGTTTTACAAGAAGGATCTACTTGTACTGTTGTATATCCTTCAGAATACTCTGGTAAATGGGAGGCTGAGCATTTTCAAGTATTTCACTTTAGCACAATTAAAAAATCTCTGAACCGTTTGTTGGATCTTCATAAATCTGAAAGGTTGTTTGTTTCCTATTTTTCAGATGTTAAAATTTCTCAATACTGCCCAACTATTTTCTGGAATATTGTCCGGATATTTCACGGTGAAATAGATGTTGGAATTATTGAAATCTTTTCTTCTATACCCATAGCTATGCTAAAGAGGAAAAGAAGTACTGTTGAGATTAGATTTAATGAACAAAATCCAAGCTCCTCTTTAAACAAAAGATCAGACAAAAATGGTCCTTGTGAAGATAAAAGTGGCTACAAACTAAAAAAAAGTAAAGACATTTTTCAGGAACTGAGTCAGAAACTTATTCAAGATTTAAATACAAAAATCCCTTATTTTGAAAAAAACGGAATTGAATATTTTAAAGATTCTGATTATTTGGATTTGAAACAAAAAAATAAAATGTCTCAAGAAAATTCTGATTTTGAGAATAATCTTCTATTCAATAGAGAAATTGACCAATCGAGTATTGAGAACCAAATTTCAAGAAGATCAAGCAGAAGAGTCTCTTTTGGAGTTAACGACGAAATTTCAATTATTGAAGCAACCATAGACAAAAATTACAAAATTATCCGCCTTCCAATATATAATTATCCAGAAAAATGGAAGAAGATTATCTATAAATACTGCATTCTCAACGAAATTCACTCATGCACTTTAATTAAAAAAGATTCTTTTAAAGGTAGGTGTGTAATAGCTGGATCTTTTATTAGAAAGGATGACTTTGTCTTGGAATATAAAGGAAATCTAATTACTCATCTCACTGAAGCCAAAGAGTTAGAAAAGAAGTATGCCCTTAGTAACAAGGGATGTTATATGTATTACTTCAAATATAATGACAAGAATTACTGCATTGATGCTACCGAGGAAAACTTGGAGTTTGGGCCAGGAAGACTAATTAATCATTCTAAGAAAAACCCTAATATAATTACAAAGGTCTTGATTGTAGGGACCACCCCAAGGCTATTCTTTGTCTCTAAAAGAAATATTATGTGTGGGGAAGAACTACTTTTTGATTATGGAGATAACAATCCTATTTCCACCCTACACAATCCTTGGCTCCTAAATTCATAAATCTCTTTGACTTAAAAATAGGAGTTTGTAACCAAGGCTCAAGCAGAGATATAGGTAAGGGGAATCAGAAATTAGTCGCGATTTTATTTATTGATTATTTGGGTAAAATTCTAAAGAATCACGTCATTTAAATCACCTAAAAGAAAAAAAAAAAGAAAAAGAAAGATATCTTATCTATAATTGTTATCTTTATCTTCTTGGGGGAAAATTAGATTTGTATTAATCAGGTATTTATTTCTGCCAGTAATTATTTAATTAATACAAAATAATTAAATTATTACATTGGCGGGAGACCGGCTGAAAGGTTAAATAATTGGTATCAAATATTAATGGTAATTAAATTAAAAATTCAAATTAAAAATTGGTAAAGATTGCAATCTTTTAATAATTATTTGTAAGCCTTCATCTTAAAAAATAAGATTTCTGGGTTTTATAAACTTTGATGTCTTTACTTACTATTATTTGGAAAATTATTATTTTTTATTAGACCATAATTGCGCCAAAGACACAAGTAACTAAAGTCAAGGTAAGAATCATCCATATCTAAAAGTCTTGATTAATTTTCAACCAAAATCAATGGAAAAGAAGCCAGTTCTTGAAGTTTGAGGCCTAAAAGTTATATTTTGAATATATAAAATATTCAAAAAAATATTCAACTGAAATCTGTGAGGTTTATTTAATTTCTGCTTAATGGAATCAGCTTGTATGGGAATCCTAATCATTTGAAAAAGAACAATTAAAGGGAAATAATTATTAAATATGAGGTCTAATTAAAAAAGAATTGTTTTAATAAAGCATAGAATTAGCAAGCATTTCATTGAATAAGATGCTGGGCTCATTCTCCAGAATAGCTTCCCTTTTGGGTGGTTTATCTTTAAATATTGCACTTGGAATGGTATACTCAATGAGTAATTCATCCATCTATGTTGCATCTTATATGAGATGGGTGGCAGAACCAGGGTCAAAGCCAGTAACTTTGGCAGACATTTCTTGGGTATATACTTTAAATATATTCTTTCTTGGTATTATGTTACCTGTAGGAGGTTATATTAATAAGAAACTTGGTGTTCATAAGTCATTATATTTGGCATCTATTTTATTCTCAATCTGTACATTTGCACCTTACTGGTTTGTTTCGTCATATTATTGGTTTTTGATTATTTTTGGATGTATTATTGGAATTGCAGATGGTATTGCTTTTAATCTTCCCCAATATTGTGCTTATAAGCACTATCCAAATAACATTGGTCTTGCTTCAAGTGTAGTAATTTCTGGGTTGGCATTGAGTCCAATATTATTTTCTCCATTGCAAACTTGGATAGTGAATCCTGAAAATAAAATGCCAAACTTTAAAGTGGGAAATGCATTATATTTTTCTGATAAGGAGATTCTAATGAGGGTGCCCAAAATGTTCATAGCAATGGGTTTATTTGTCGCATCATTGTGCATAATATCCATATTCACAATGCAAGAACCTAAAGAGGAATCTAATCTTGTATTACCTTCAGACGAAAAGAGTAGGATTTTGAACTTTGAAAACTCTACGTCAAACACAGATAGAGAACCGTTACATAATGATTCTGAAAAAGATGTACCAGCTCGAGTATTAAATCTAGGATCGAGTTATCTGGGAGAATTTTACAATAATTTTGAACAGGGAAAAAAATACGATGATTTGTATCATCCTAATGCTAATTTAGAGTCAGTTTCAACTACTATTAGTCCAACAGAAGAACTATGTTCTTTTGAATTTGATTTGGACTATGTTAAATTAGAAATGGAACTAGATTTGGAGAAAAATGAAAAAGGAAAGGAAGACAACACTAGTGAAGGAAGTGAGGAAAAAGAAAAGATCCTTAATAATGAATGTAATCAAAACTTAAAACTTAAAGGGAGTTTTATTTCAAGTGAAAATAATGAATTGGACATATTATCTAGACTATTAAAGGAAAGACAGTTTTGGTTGGTTTTTTGGCTTCTTTTCTTATTTTCACAATATGTCCATTTCATTGCTTCATGGTGGAAGAATATTGGAATAATATACTTGGATATTTCTGATGAAGTACTTGCAACTATAGGTACACTAATTACCTCCGGAAACAATGTTTTTGGAAGATTTTTTTTTGGATCTTGGATAGATAGGCTCGGAGGCAGAATTTGCTTCATATTTATCTCTTTATCTTGTCTCATATCTGTTGCAGTATTTCAACTTTCACTGATATTAAACTCACAATTGTTTTATTTAATTTGCATTGGGCTCATTTTCTTTAATATGGGGGCAGGTTTTGTATTATTTCCTCCAATTGTGGCAATTAATTTTGGAGTCGAGTATTATACTTTGATATATGGAATAGTTTATATTGGAAGATCTTTGGGAGTATTGTTTAACTCTCTTTTGACATGGCTACTAATTGGTTCATTTAGTGTTCATTTTATCTGTTTTATAACTGGAATGTTTACTTTTGCGTTTTTCCTCCTATCCACCAGATTTCGCGATAATACTCCATTTTCAGATCAAACCTTATACAAGAAGCTATTTCCTCTCAAATAATTAAAAATATTTCTAATATTCATTATGTAGAGAGATGGAGATACATAAGATTGTTTGAAAGTTAATTTTACAAGGAAATACTATACCTAATGTAGAGTGGAATCAACCTTATTAATATATTGCTTTGACTTGTATTAGTTTGATCGTTTGAAGCCTATTTAATAATTTTATTAAATGTAATAATCATCTTCTTACAATTTTGAAAATTATATTAGCAAAATTTGAATAGATGAAAGGTTTAACCCAATTTAATAGCCTTATAACTTGCTCTATTTGTTTAAATCTTGTGCTTTTTATATTACTTTGTTTTTCTAAATATGTTTTTATTATGTTTTCCTGACGATTTTTTTGAATATTTTAGTATCTGGCGCCAATGAAAGTAAAGAAAAAGTAAAGACAAAAAAAAGCAATTAGAAAACTTTTGGAAATGAAGGAGATGAGTGTGGAATCAGAAAAAGACCCAGAAAAATATGAGGAATATAAATATGTTCAGCCAATGACATCGCCCTTATACAATTATGTGATTTCTTCTGTGTGTGATAAAATAGTGGAATTCCTCCCTAAGTCTCTTTCACCAAACTCTCTGACAATAATTGGACTAATTTCTGTTTCAACTTCGTTCATCATGCTAATTTCCATAGGGGAGAATGCAAAAGAACTTTTCTTGGTCTCAGCAGTACTCTGGTTTCTTTATGGTATAATAGATAATTTGGATGGTAAACAAGCAAGAAGATTGGGTGTATCATCTAATAGTGGGGAGTTTATGGACCATGCAATAGATTCAGTTGTGACTTCCTTTGTAGGACTTGCATTTCAGCATATGCACAATAGATCTCTTGAATTGGATTTGCTAGTAGTATTGTCTTACCAAGTTCCTTTTTATTTTGCATCTTGGTTTCACTTTCAGTATGGGAAATTAATCATTGGTAACTCCATTTCAAAAACTCCTTATTTCACAGTAGATGAACTCAATCTTTTTTTTATTCCATTGTTTATCTTATTTGAGTACTTTTTTCCTGGGCTTTGGAGACTAGATATACCTCTTTTTGGTGGGTATGTATTGAAGAATTGGGGAATAACTTTTAACTATTGTTGTTTCGCATACTCTATATTTAGTCTTATAAAGTGCATACATTATTGCTCATCAAGATCCACAAAAAATATGCATCTTTTTTTCATTCCTCTTACAATTCATATAATTTCCAAGGAATTTACAAAACTAAGCATGTTTGATACGATTTTTCCATTCTCAATGCTTTGTATTACCCTTATTTTTTTTAAGATTTCAAAAATACTTATTAAAAAGCCAACTAGTTCTTTCATCATACTTTTAGCAGTCTCTTTAATTCCCAACATTATGACTAAATTTATGGTTTCTTTTTTTAAAACAAGCCAAAGCCTAACCATTTTCATTCAATTTATAATATGGGCCCTAGCTATTTATAAATTTTCTGATTACCTTAATCTTCATGATAATATTAAGAATAAGAAAAAATAACTTCCAAGATATTAATACTAAACTAAAGTGAAAAAAAAACTTAATGTTTGAAACAGTAAGAATTATAAATTTCAATTATAATTATTATCTGATCTATCTATTTCCCTACTCTAGTCTTTAAACACTATCAAAACAATGCATTTTTTTCCATTTATTCCCTTAATCTATATTTTTGTCTGGTACCGTTTATGGCGCCATATAGTGGCGCCTATTGCACTAAATACTATGTGAGGTGAAAATAGCAATTAAAGTCAAGAAAAAGTATGAAATAAATTGCATTTTGCTTGTAATTTTAAAATGAACAAATAATATTTTAAAACATTCGTGGGGGTGTTTAATTAATTTCTTTAGCACTAAAATTACAAATATTACTTTAAAAGAGTCACTAGATTTCGATTCTTGAAATAATAAAGTTATCATTAAATATATTAAAAAATAATAAATAACTTTATGTCAATTAAATACAAAAATAAATAAATTAAAAGGAAAAAAATAATAAAATGATTGAAAATACAGAATTTTATAGCGAAGTAATTCAAGGAATTGACTCAAAGTTAGCTGTAATAGCAGAGAATGAAATAATCTTGACAGAGCAAGCTAACCTGTTAAGAAAGGAATATGAAACTAGAAAAAGAGAAATTGATAGAATTGTATCTGAGATTTGTGATGAACAAGTTAAAAAGGTCTATGAGAAAGTTGGATCAATGATCACAACTCAAAGGAAGTTATGGAGTATTTTAGTCAACACAAAGATTTCTGGTAAAGAAGAAGAAAATATATTAACAGAGAAAAAAGAAATCAATGAATTAATATTAAAAGAACTTAATGCTGTTGAAAAAATGTATTGTGAAAATTCTGAATATATTAATAAAATAGAAGAAGATTGGAGAGATGTGAAAAAAGCATCTATTGAGGGAGTTAAATTGTCAAAAGAAATTGACTGGGAAAGTATTCCAGAAGAAGAACTTGGAAAAAGATTAAGAGGAGGTGAAGTTTTACATAGAGATGAATGGATACCCAGTCAAGATAATACAACTGGACGTAAATTAACACCAAGTGAATTCAAATCACATTTGGAATTCGGTGAAATGATCTTGAAAGAAGGTAAAGCTTCTTTCGAAAAACAAGATTTAGAGTTATCTTATACTAGATATACTCAAGGTGTGGAACTTTTATGTTGGGTTAGAGGGTCAGACGAAGAATCTGAATCACTCAGAATAGAATTGTATAAGAAATTCCTAAAGAATCAAGCTTTACTTGCACTTAAACTTGGCAAATATAATGATTCCATTCAATCATGTAATAAAGTTTTAAGTATTGATGAATGTGATGAAAAGTCCCTCTTTAGAAGAGGAGAATGTTACATGATGTTAGGAAGATTTGAAGAAGCAAAGAAAGATTTTAGATTTATTTGTGAGTTTGACTATTTTTCTAGAGATGCTAAACTACAATCAAGAAAGAAGCTTGTTGAAATGATGAAGAAATCAAAGTTCAGTAATTATGTAAACAAAAGTATAATTAATAATTTAGATGGCCTAATGCAAAGTAATAGAGAAGTGGTCAACAAAACAAAGCATGAAACTGAAAATTATTATTCTCATATTAATAATTACTCACAAATTCAAAGTAATTTTGACTACAATCACAAAGAAAGCCCGATTTATTCTTCTAGAAAAGAAATTCAACCTCATTTTGATTTAGAAACTACCAAAGATATTCTTGATGAACTTCTCCTCAAATATTCGTCCGAGGAATTTGAGAAACAACTTTTTGAACTTAGAAAGCTTTCAGATTATGACGAAAAAAGGTTCTTAAGAAGACTTAGAAATGTTCTCCCGGAAATTAATATTCCTATTTACCAAAAATACGGCCTAGACCTAGAATCAATGAGCTACGAAAAAGCCAAACGCACTTTAGAGGAAAGTGTTTCGTACTGGAGAACTAAAGATGATCAAGTAAAGACATTATCTAAAGAAATATATAAATACATCATGGGAGACACTATAATTGAGTAATAAGTAGTGCAAATTAGCTAAAATCAGATTAAATACGAATAGAAGAATCAAATATAAAAAGAAAAAGATCACAAATATAATGGGATTGTATTTCATCCAATTGATTTCTCACATCTTTCTTCTTGAATTCTTTCAAATATTTCATACTAAATATTAAATATCCTACTTAAATGGATAATATGTCATAAAGACATAATTGTCTCTCTCATATTATATGGAAGTCAGTAGGTGAATTGTTAATTATAACAATTTTTTCATTTTACGTCCAATGCCATTATTCCAAGTTATTACTTTCCTTAAACTAAGAATTTTGTAAATTGGACATTAAAGTTTTCTTGATTAAATAACTAATTCATAAAGAATTAAAAATTAACAGAAAGTTAACAAACTCAGATAATGGCAAAAAAAGTATCAACACTGGATTTACTTTTTTCAGAAGCCAAGCGTTAATTGGAAGTTTATCATCATAGTAATTATTAACCTTCTGTATTGTCAAATTTGAATATAAATTATATATTCAGTTTTAAAAATAGCCAAAATTTAGGATTGAAAGTTAAAAAAAAAAATAATTTTGTACTTTCTCAATATTTGTCTTTAAGTTAATAAAAATGATTTATTATAATTAATACACTACTAATTAATACTTTAGAATCATACCAATATATCCAAAGATCCGGTTTCATCCATAATAGTTTGTAATCCAACAATACAGGATTCTGCTACAATTATGTCCTGATCTTTTGAATATTTTAAAAGTGTTTCAATAGATAATTTCCTTATTCTATTTAATTCATCTTTTGTATATAATTTATCCATTTTCTGTAAGCTCTCACTTTGTCTAGGATCGTTAGAACCAACAGATCCAAGTGCAAAAGCAGCCTCGTGTCTAACCATTGATTCCTCTGATTGATTTGATATAACTCTAGAAAGTGCATCAGCAGTAGAAATAACTTGGATTTGACCCAAAACAAACGCACATTCATGTCTAAATACTGCGGAGGTTTGGTCAGTTTCCATAGCTTTGGCTATTCCTCCAGCAATAAAGTGGACCTTATCATTATCAAATTGTTGAACAGACTCATCATTTAGACTTCTTTTTTGATTTGAATCAATTATACCTGTTAAAATGTTTCTTAAAGCAAATAAAACAGCATATCTCCTCTCTAGCTTAGTATTCTCATTCAGAAGATCAGAAACCAATACTTCTATTTGATTAACTTCGCATGATGATTCTGGTGGAGTTGGATCCGTCGTATTAAAAGCATTAATGCTTGATGTATTTGAAACAATATCTGAATTAAAGTCAGAATTTTTTTGATTACTTTCTTGAAATCTCTTCTCTCTTTTTAACCTCAAAGAATGAGCTGCTAAATAGCACGTCTCACTAACTGCTGAAGATTTATCGTTTATATACTTTTCCACAATCTCTAAACTTTCATCTTCTCCTATAGCTGCAATAGCCTCTCCAGCTTCATGTCTAACCATGGGATGCTCATTTTCATCAGCTAAAATTTCATAAAGACGGGGTAACGGACTTTTTAGACCCATCTGTCCTAGTACATAAAGAACTTCATGACGAAATAACACGCTTTCTGAATAATCTAATGATTTTGATAACATCTTCGCTGATTCTTCGTCTCCATAAAACCTCCCAAAAAACAAACATCTAATCTTACTTGAAATATCAGTATCATGGCTCAATAATAGCTCTCTTATTTTCTCTTTTGAAAATATATTAAAAGGTGAGAATTCCCCTCCATCTAAAGGTTTTACAGGGCATCCTGGTAACATTGCCTTAGGAGTAATTTTATTCTTTACGACCATTTCCGATAATTAACAAAAATTTCATAAAAACTTTAAATATATCTTTGTTTTAAAAATACATCTCCTTAATTCCAAAAATAAATCAAAATTCCTTTCCTGTAGATTATTTATTGGAATAATTTCATCTTTGACATAAACTGTAAATATATTACAAATGGATACCAAATACAAAATCACATGTAGCGCCAAAACTGAGCGCCATTGTGTTTTTTCTTACTGGTACCACTCACTTTAGTAAAACTTTGTTTTTTGCCAATAATAACTCCAGTTAATTAAATATTAATATTTGACTGAAGATAAGTGCCATTTTAAAGAAGTAGGTACTAAATAACCTTTAAAATTTACGATACGCAAAAGTTACGAAGATTATTGTTCAGTTACATCTCTAACTTACAATTGTGAGAAGTTGATGAATAAAATATATAGGTCAACATTTAACTCAATAGTAAATTTGAGAATATAGTCCTTTAAAATATCAATTAATAGTCAGATAAAATTACTCAAATCCCGTTATTAATTTGAAAAAGACGATTAAAATGGCAAATATTATAAAGTCTTTTTGGATGTCATTAACGTCAATCTTCCTTTCAGAATTAGGAGACAAGACCTTTTTTATCTCAGCAATTTTGTCAATGAACAATTCTGCATGGATAATTTTTGCAGGTAGTATGTTTGCACTAGCTGCAATGACTTTATTTGCATGTTTAATAGGTTTCATATTACCAAATTTATTCACTCCAAAATATACTCACTATGCATCTTGTGTATTATTCTTCGTATTTGGATTAAAAAGTCTTTATGATGGATTATTTGTAATTGAGGGTGGAAATGCGAATAATGAATTTTTAGAAGTTAAGGCTGAGTTGGATAAGTCAAAGAAGAAGGGAAGCTCAATCACTGCAGATGATAAGATAGAAGCTCTTGATATGGGGAATATGCTATTTAAAGATGTTGAGCTTTGTAATAACCGAAGCAATGAAGAGAATTCAAATTTCTCAAGTAGTGAATTTCGAATGGATAAATGCATTAAAAATAATGGAATTCTCCGTATTATGAAAAACAAATTTTTCATTCAAGCATTTACACTTACGGCTTTGGCTGAATGGGGAGATAGATCCCAAGTTGCCACAATTCTCTTATCAGCATACAACGATCCATTTTCAGTGTTTCTTGGATCAATGATTGGTCACTCAATCTGTACAGGTTTAGCCTGTTACGGAGGTAAATATCTTAGTAAATTCATTTCCCCCAGGATGGTTACAATTTCAGGAGGAATTCTGTTTCTAGCATTTGCTCTTGCAGGCCTTATAATGGGGCCATGATTTAATAGAATTATAGATTTAAGCTGTAATGATTTTTTTTACTTAATTTTGATTCCTTTCTCTAAGTTCAACTTAGATTCAATTCATTTCTAAGAAATTAATTTTCTGGAATAATCTCTTTAAGAATTACACCAATTTCCATCGAGAATGCTTCTATCATTTCACTTGGAGCCTGTATTATATACAATGTTCGTGGATCTTCTATATTTATTGGAGATTCCAAATAAGTTAACTTCAAATTGTTTGTGGAAACCGCATTATATAGGTTGTTGAATCCAGAAGAAGAATTAAATCCAATATTTCCTTGTCTATACATTGCAATTTCAAGTCCAATATTTTGGCCAACACTCAAATCCTGAAGAGGAGAGATATTAAATAATGGCCCACTTGCTTCTCCCTTAGATAAAACTAACTGGCTCCATTTTCCTGTAACAGGTATTACCAATCCGAGTCTAACAATATCATTTATCTGTTCAAAAATAGGGACTGATAATTCTATCCCTTGTTTGCCTGTAATATGCAGAGCAATACAATCAGCAATTGCAATCCAACGAATCAAAGAAAAAGCCTCTTTGTTTCTTGATTCAACTTTCCCTAAATTTTGCTTATTTGTCCTTTTTCTCCCTCTTTTTGACTTAAGTTTAGAAGCTACCAAATTATGAAAAAGTGTTTTATCGTCTTTCTTTGGAACCTTTGAGGCAACATATGCAGAAAGAAGTAATAATTTGGTAAAATAAGGCATATTAATTTGAGAAATATTCTTCAAAAACCCATAATTCAATATTCCACTGGCATTCTCATTTGTCGAAATTAAATCTCCTTGAAACAGCTCTGGCAAAAAGTGAGAATATACATTCCTCGTTAAACTATCATAGTGCCTTTTGAACCTATTTAATAGCTTTTGAGTTACTGAATGTATTTCATCGTCATTGTTTTTATTTCTTGTGAAATACAACTCACCAGAAACAAGAGGGAGTAAAAATACTGGCCATAAATTGTTAATTTTGAAAATAATTTCTTTAAAATCTGATTTTAAATATGGATGTAATATTGTAATCATTTCTGCAATAAATTCAGTCCATATTGAGTAAAGTGTTTCAATTGAGATAATATTTTGTTTATTTGTATCATCTTTCAATAAATTCAGCTTAATCCGACTCGAATTTGTTTCAGTTTTGGGAAAGAAGTCAATTGAACCTTTTATATATGAACTTAATAATGTATCAACTAAAATTGATTGTGAATTCTTTCTCTCATAAACTTTTAGTATTTCATTATCCAAATCTATTTCTTTAATATTAGTATTTAATCTTAAATTTGCAATTATGTCAAAACTTTGTATATCATTATAAGATGAGAACCATATTACTGGAAAAGGCAAGTGAGTACAAAAGAAGTCATCCGGAATTCCATAATTATCAATAAATATAACACAATAATTAATATTTACAATACACTTTTCTTTCTTGGCAGGAAGTATTATTACATCTCTCAAGTGTTCATGTAATTTCATTAGAGTTAACAGTAAATCTGGTTTATTTTTTGAAATAGTAGTTACATCTTTTACTATCAAAAAAATACTTTTTGATTTCACCTTAGCAAGTTCAACTTCTCCGTCATTTGTACTGCTTTCACTATTTAAATCATCATCCAAGCTATTATTTTCTTCACTGCTATGCTTTTGTAAGTACTCGGAATATTCTTTTTTTATTAATCTTAATTCATCTATAAATTCAATAATATTGTTTGCTGATGTTGAAGAACTTTCTAACTCATTCTCAAACAAACTAATTTTAGATCTTCCTTTTTTGTTGTTAAATATTCCTTTCTTAATTAATTTCTTTCTAATTTGTTCGATTGGTCTTATAAATAAGTTCTCTACTGCAATTTTATTGATACACCCTCCTTTTGAATTACACAACCACTTTGTATATGCCCCATTCATATAACCAAAAATAGACCCATTTCTCTTTAACATATCTTTAACAAGTGAATATTTCCCTGTTCCCGGCATTCCTAAAACTTGCAAGTATGGAATTGAATTGTTATTGCTTCCTATTGTATTTGCAAGCTGAAAGATTTCTTGAAATCTCGAACTACCGTATTTTATACATAATGAACGTATTATAGGCTGAATTTCTTCCGGATAATATTTAAGTGAATTTTGGATTAATTCCTCATTTGCATCAATATTTCCCAAATCTTCCTTACTTGACTCAATACTATAGAATCCACGAATATTCTCTGTAAATTCATTCTCACTGTTTTCACAATCTTTTGTTTCAATCTTACTTGTTCGCTTCCTTTTTTCGCCAACCATTTTTATATCAATAGTGTCTATATATTATTATACATTTAATTTTCATGCTTTTCAAATTAATTCTTTTTTTCCGCTAACTTTTCCCCCGACATTATTTTTACCTCTGTTAACTTTTCCGCTTAATTTATTTTAACTGTTTTAATTAATTCCCTAGATTAAAAAAAAAGTATTACTAGTCTCTTAAGTTGAAAACAACAATAAACTTGCTTCTTATTTTCATTTTTAATTTTTATTTATCAATATCATATCTTTTTCTTTCTCTTAGTTAACATATCATTATAAAATTCATATTTAAGATATTTCTAGTTCAAACTATTTTTTAAATAGAAAAAATATTTTTAAATTTAAATCATGCAACTTTGTGGTTGAACACCGGTATATGTTTTTTTATATTATTATAAATATAAATGCATGTCATTTTGTCATCATTTAGGCGGTAACAATTTTAGTCATATGGACAAATAAATCAACAAATATAGTCAAATAAAAAAAAAGAATCAATTAATAAGTGAATTAATGCGACAAATGAATTCTTAAGAGTTCATTGATTATTTTTAATCAGTTGATTAGCACGTGTTTATATAAACATATTCATTAGTGTTTATTATTTTTTTTTCAAATAATAAAATGGGTGTTAAAGGTTTGTGGGATATTGTTGCTCCTTCTGGAACAAGGGTAAAGCCGGAAACCTTGGAAGGACAAATATTGGCTATAGATGCAAGTATTTGGCTTAAACAATTTTTGATGGGATTAAAAGATAAGGAGGGGAAAATACCACAAGGTGCACACTTACTGGGTTTTTTTAAAAGATTATGTAAGTTATTATACTATGGGATATTGCCAGTGATAGTTTTTGATGGGACTCCCCCAGATATTAAGAAGAGAACTTTGGAGATAAGAAGAATGCAACGAGAAATGTCAGAAATTAACATGAGAAGGGTAGCAAATAAATTATTATTAAATACAATAAGATTGAAAGTTGCTAGAAAAGTTAAAGATAAGGTACGAAAAAAAGATAAACAAATTAGAGACGAAGACAAAGATGATGAATATAAGCAGCAAATTGAGGGGGAGGAGAAGGAAGAAGAAGAAAAGAGCGAAGTAATAACACTGGACGATAAAAATATAATTCAATATAATAATAAAAGAAAAGCAAGTCATTCAATAGAAGAAAAAAATGATTCAAAAACTCCGAACTTATTTTCATCGGAAGATGAAAATAATAGTAGCGATGATGAAGGTGTTTATGGTAGACAAAACCATAAATTTAAGAAATATGGCAGATACCGAATTCAACATTTAACAAATGAAAAAGATGAGAATTCACAAGGCACAACAAGTTATTTTCCAGTAATGGGATTCTTAAGTGAAAGAAGAAGATTGGATGAGATGCCAGAAATAGATACGAATCTGTTTTCAATGCCAGTTTCAATTAGCACAACTCACAAGTTAAGTTCAAAAAAGCTAACTAAAATTGAAGATTTTAATGCGTTTCTTAAATCTAATGAATTAGGTGGAGATGAAAGGAGATTAATGGATTTACCCTTAGATACAGAAATAGATCCACAAGTATTTGAGCAATTAAATTCAAAGCTTCAATATGAGATTTTGATACAGCTCAGAGACGCTTGGATAAATGCTTTAAGAAGTAATGCAGTAGATACTAAAGACAATATGAATCAGTTCAGTAATTCCCAAATTGAATGTTATTTAAGATATTTAAGAATTAATCAGGAAATAGAAAAATTAAAAGTCAAAATGGCTAAAGAATGTGAGGAGGAACAAATAGAGTCCTCTAATGAAGAAATTAAAGTTATTGAGTATGGCCAAGTTTACGATCCTGATAATGATAATTACAATAATATACAGGAAAGTTCTTCTAGTATATTCGAAGATCAAGGTAAAGAGATTATTAACGAAGAATCTCATACTTACCATGATCAGGATAATTCCACATTAACTGGCAAAATTATCAATTTTTCTAAAAACATTCATACTGATAAAAATGATATTGATAATCATCAGGATTCTTCATTAAATTGTAATATATTATCAATGAAAGGATATCATAATTTATCCAAAATTACAAAGAAAGAGAGAATTAAATTTCTTCAAAGTACTGACTATACAAAAAGTGAAAATGTTGTATCCAATCCTTTAAATACCCCATTATTTGATCTTGAGAAGCTCTTGAATATGGAAACTACCCAAGAAATTCATATCAAAAATATAGCAAAAGATGTATTTAATGACTTTAATGATGTTGAAAGGCTTGAGTTACTGAAAGAAAATGTGGATGAACTATTTAATATTAGTAATCAATCAATTAGAAATGATGAAGAAAAAGATGACGGTTTTATTGTGGATATTGAGAATCCAGTTTCCCAAGAAAAAGAAGATGATCAGACTAATCAAGCGGATGAAGACGAAGATTGGCAAGATATTGAATGGGAAATTCCAAGCACAATAAATCGCCAAGAAAAAAGCCAGGAATCCATCAAACTTGTTAAAAATATGATCCTTTCAAATAATCTAATGTCTAGCATTGAGTCAAAACTTGACAGTATTTTGGAAACTGAAAAAAAGCAAGAAAAAAATGAATCAAAGGAAGAAACCCACTTAATATTAATAGAATCTGAAGAAGAAGAAAGTCCCGAAGAAACAAAAGAACAAATAGAAATAGATAAACAAAGAATAGACACCCACTTTATTCAAGAAAAGTCTCTAAATGAAGTCGTCGACGAAAAAGAAAAAGAATTTGAAGAAGAAATCGAAGATTCAATGAAACAAAAGGATTTAAAAGAAGTCGAATTTAGTCAAATTGAGGTTCAAGAACCTATTTTTGACAGTGAAAAAGTAGAAAAGCAAGACCAATTGGACGATACTTATTTAGAAGATATTAAAGAAATCATTCAAAAGGAAGACGAGCAAATGTTAGATGTAAATTTATCTGATGACCATTATACTCTATACGATAAAAATTTAGATGATATTTTATTTGAATTGGAGAAGGAACAAGAGGAATTAAGCTTAGAATTTAGTAAGCATGATATCATTTTGAATTCAGAAGTAACAAAAGAAATGCAATATCAAATATGTCTATTATTAAAAGCTCTTGGAATTCCATGGATTGATTCACCAGGTGAAGCAGAAGCCCAGGCTTCTATTTTAACTCAGTTAAATATATGTAATGGTGTATTATCAGATGATTCTGACTGCTTAATCTTCGGAGCAAAAAAAGTGTTTCGTAACTTCTTTTCAGGAAATAGTATTGAAATGTATGACTTAAATCATGTTAAAAAGTTTCTAAGAATTGAAAAACAAGAACAATTCTATATTTTAGCAATCTTACTTGGATGTGATTATACTGTAGGTGTTAATGGAATTGGGCCAGTTAATGCCGTTGAAGTACTTAAAGCTTATCCACACCTTGAAGACATGATATTATTTAAAAATTGGTCAATGAATAAATTTGAAGATAAAAGCAGTGATTTAGTTAATGATACTTTTGAAAGAGCCGAATTTAAGAGAAACCATTCAAATTATAGACATTCTTGGATATTTCCTCCTGATTTTCCATGTTTTGATGCAATTAATGCAATGAGAAATCCAAATATAATATCAGATGTTAGACCAGTTTTTGGTAAAATTGATAAGAATTCTACAATAGAATTAATGACCAGAAATACTAATTTAACATGTGAAAAAGTATCTTTAATTATTGATCCAATCATTAAAAACCAAGAAAATAGATTTAAACAAACAAGAATTGATGGATTCTTAATTAATAATTCAACCACTCATTACCATAAAAAAAGTACTAGTAGCAATAACATTGATAGAGAAGAAAAGGTTGCATCTATTATCTCTAAAAGAATGAAAAAGGCTTTAAGTCATCTCAAGTAAAATAAGTTGGTCTTCCTTTGTAAGTATCCAAAACCTCAAGCTGATCTTGATTGAATTTATTTTTATGGATGAAATTCCAACCATCTTGATGAGTTTTAAAGAATTCTTGAATACATTCCTGAATCTGTTTCTTTAAAATCTGAGAAATATTTCTACTACCACTATAATTTGCTAAAAAAGTAATCGTCTCTGGAAGCCAAAATGGAATATCATATGGATGACTCATAATTGCTGAAATAAGTCCAAGCACTCCAGCTCTGCAATATCTTTCATTATTTTTACTTACGTTATTCTTAATTTGAGATTCCTCTTGAAGAGAAAATATATCCAAAGTATTGAAATTCATCTTTTTCATTATATTCATCTCCTCACAATCTTCCACATTATTGATATTATTTTTACTCAATCTTTCCAATCTATTCAACCAAAATTTAAATAATTTAATATAACTAATACATATCTTATTGTTTAAAGTTCTAAACAAAGTACATAAAGCTAATTTTGAAATATATTTAATTTCTGACTGATCCTCAAATAACCCATAAATTATATTATTTATAATATCCAACTGAAGATTTGTTCCATTTATTAATGGAGAATAAAATTCACCAATTATTGTATTTACTCTTATTTTGAATAATCTATTTTTATAATTATTTGGATCCACCTTTTCCACACTATTAATAATATTATCCAGTCTAGTCATTATTGGTATTTCATCATGATTTAATTGAGTAATTAGTAATGACATTAATGAACCATAAGAAAGTCCAAGGATATCATCATTATTGCCAATCATTATTTGTATTTTATTAATCATATTAAAAAGATCATCAAAAGAAACCATTTCTTCTACCATTAATTCGGATTTTCTACTTGAATATAAATCTCTAAGTAAACAATAATAAAGTACAACTTCTGAATTTGAAATAATACTCGAATCCAATTTGTTTTTTTCACAATCAATCATTTTATCTTCACTTATATTTTTTGAATCACTTTTCAACTTTAAAATATAATTATTCATCTCATCTTGTAATTTTAACATTAGTAATTTATAATCTTCAATTAAATTCATTTTTAAAGATCCTTGTAATTTAATTATGGATTTAGAATAAATCAGATTACTAGCAATTATTAAAGAATGGAGCATATTTGACAATTCTTCTCTTAATTGTTTATAATTATTATCTTTTTGAATTATATAATTAAAAATCTTTAAGCCATTTTTTATATAATCTTGAAACTCTAAAGATACTTGAACATCATGGATATTATCTATTTTTTTATTGTTATTCATTATTAATTCCATTAAACCACTTTGATAAATTCTTAAATACTTTATTATTTCAAACGTAGATAAATCATTATCTTCAATCATACCAGTGTCTATATTAGTTATATTATTATCATTATTAAATGAATTGTATTCATTTTTTGAGTATTTGAATGGGTTTAATATGAAATTCAATAGTATCTTCGTTGTAAAATTAGTCTCCATCAAATTTGAATTACAAGATGAATAAGATAACAAATATTTTTCCAATTCTTCAATTCTTAATGACTTTTTAATTTTAACATTATTATTTGGTTCAATTTCAGGTTCATAATAATAATATTCCAATTTTTGTCTTATTACTGGTGTAAGGGAATACTTAATAAAATCCATATAATTAAAAATAAAATCTTGATCACTTTGTTGGAATTCATGATATAATACTTTTATTAATTTTTCCCTGTTTAAAATATTTGTATTGGAAATAAAATCATCCATATCTTTTGAAATTGTTGAAACTGAGAAAAATGAAGATAGGATCTCCAATATTAATAAATGTTTTTCTTTCTCTAAATTGATTACACTATTATTACACCATTCTTGTAATTTGTCCAGAATTACATCAATTATGTTAATATCATTTAAATCTTTGCCTTGATATTTTTTTTCAATCATAAAAAGTAATAACTGGAAGAATATGATGCTTGTTATTGATAAGCTATTAGAGTAACATTTAAACCGATGGTAAGGGAAGGAATTTATTACATAAGTGTAATTCAAAATTAAATTGTTAATTAGCATACTAGTATTTGTTGAATTCATTACCTTTCTTTCAGATCTTGAAGTGATTAGAGTTGTTTGGCTTGAATTTGGATGATTATTAGATATCTGGTGATGATAAACTGTAATATTTACCATATTTTCCAGTAAATTGTTGATTTTAAAATCATGAATAATGAAACCTGATTCTTTCATAATTAATTCAATAAGGAATTCTTTATCATTCTCAAAAAGTTGTTTAAGTAAAGTAGTTAAGTTGAAAAACACTACAGAGTAGAAATTGCTATGATTAGATTTGTCAGTCTCCAAAAATATACTCCATAAGTAACTCCAATAATCAGAAATCATTTTTCTTAATGAAATAAGCTCATTATTAAACTGTTCTTCTTTGATTAAAGATCTTTGAGATATTAATATAACCAGTAATCCTTGAATAAAAGTTAAAATGATAAGAGATCTTCTGAGCAAAGAATTACTAATCAGTAATTCAGTCTTCACTTTATTAAGATTATACAATAGAATTCTGATCACATTAATTACATAATTGATATCAAATTTCTCAGATTTTAAATAATTTGAATTTATTTGTGAAATAAGTTCAAAATCATCCTCATTATTGCCTTGGTTATCTGTTATATTATTTGATTTATTAAACAAGCTAATAAGTTTACTTAGCTTAAGTTCCAATTTGTTTCTATACTTTTCTGTTGTATAGCCAGTATTGTCACTTTTTTTGTCCAAATAGTGAAATAATAAGTTGTTAAAATCTCGATTACTAATTATATGGTTGAATCCATTTAAAAGCCTAACAGGAATATTTTCTTTACTCAATTTGAAAGATGATGAATAGGAGATGATAGTAATAAAGTCAATTAGTAGATCCAAATTGTTCCATAGAAATCGATGGTATAAAGAATTATTCACAATTATATAAGACAATCCCGATAAGTGATTAAATAGAAATTCCTCCATCGGATTTAGCTTATTATCACAGTAACTCTCAAATGTTAATTTGGTATAATATATGTTAGATCTCAAGACTTCTTTAAAAGTCAAATCATGACAATCTGAACTTTGTGTATTTTTGAATAGAATATGATTAGGTTCTATACCAACTTGATCGTATTTTTTAAATAGAAAGATTGAAAAGTATACCTCAAATAAAATAAATTGTAAGACATTATTTCTAGAAGAAACGTGGGAATTGATAGACTCTTTTAGAGCTGATTGTGCTGTTTTTCTTATTAAATTATAATTACCTAAACTGAATAATGTCATCAAATAAATCAATTTTTTACGATATCCAAAAAATCCATATTCGTGTCTTCTCATGTTAATCCTTTTATTCCAGTAATATTGTATGTTTTTAAGCCAGAAAATTTTGGGAGAACTTAATAAGCTAGATTGGTAATATAAGCCATTTGTATAGGATAGCCAAGCCAGTACAGAATCAGAAAATTCAATATTATAAAGAGATGATAATGATAAATTGCTTGAAGAAGAATAATAATGATTTAAACACTGGTTAATAGTTTTTATCAATTTTGATTTAAATTTGATTTCCTCAGTGTTAGTGATTTTGACCAAAGGATCTGATAATTTATAATATGTAGTGCTCACCTGGAAATTATCTGAGTTATTATCATTTTTAGAGTCACCAGTTAGTTCTTGTTTTATTTTAGACCCTAAATTTGTAACTTCAAGCATCTGTATTCCCAAAAAGACTTGAACTAGAAGTAGAATTAAACAGTAAGTATCAGTGAAATACTTTGAAAAGAATGGTTCAAATTCATTAAAGTTTTCTGGGTTTAAAGTTAATGGAAAGAATTGTTGGGCTTGATCATGAATTGAATGACTATTTTCTAAGCCAGATCTTCTTTCAAAAGTTGAATAATCATTCTTGACAATTGGGAGAATGTAAGATATTGATTTGTTTAAAACTCGAAGATTATTTAAACAAAATAAGACTGTACCTATAAAATCATGAGTAGGCTTATTTGTTTCATCATTTTTGATGATATTGAGTAAAATCTGGAAATTTTCTATATTGTCTTGATTTTCAACTCGATCAGAGCTAAAATTGCTAATTGAGTTTTTGAATAATTGAAGATATTCTTGGAATAAGTTATCAAGTAAACTAGAAAACTGAGAAGAGTTAGAGTTTGTATGTATTATCTTCTTTAAAAGCTTGATTATAAATAAATAGTTGAATATAATTAAGGATTTAACTTCAATTAAGCAGATTCTTTCGGGTGTAAACCATTCAGGTTTTTGAACATCATTAAATATTGATTTTTCCTGTAAATAAAAAGGAAGTCCCCAAAGGATTATTCCCTTTGCTACTAATTCTGGACTTTTTGCAATTGGAACTAAAAGTGAATTTCTGGATTCAACAATCTGTATATGAGTTAATGACTCAATAAACCTTTGCTCTAATTTAATTCCTGCTCTTTTTATTTTCTTTCTAGAATCAGAAAGAAGTTCAACAATCAATGAATAAATTCCAAAATAGTATATTTTATTATTTTTCATTAATAAGTGATTTTGAGTGTATCTGATTAAGCTTGAAACTAAATTTGTATAATATAAAATGAAGGACTCATCCTCAGATTCAAAACTATTTGTATTATTAATAAATTTTATTTTTTTGGAGTTTTGTGACAAAGAGACCTCATTAGAGAGCATCTTACTATATGTTGAGCCTGCTTTAATTTTGAATAATAACTTGGAAAGAATTAACTCAAAAGAAAGTTCAGGATCACATGATCCCATAGCTGAAAGTATCTTAGAAAGGTGTTTATAATTATCAGGAATAAAATTTGTAGATATCCAATTACCAATCATTTCATAGCAATCTCTCAAAAGTTGATTATATCCAAATTGTTTACATTTTGAAAAAATACTAATAATTAAAGCTCTTAAAGCATAAGAGATTCCAAGATCAACAGAAGATGAGTAACTTCCTGTCTCTGAAGGTTTAATAACATTTTCCAAAATGTTTAATACACGTTCTAAAAATTCAATAACCCAATAGCCAAATATCGAATCCATTAAAATTTTTCTTTGTTCATACTTTTCCATTAAAGTTTCTCTATCAAATTTGCGATTTAATATAAAATAAAAGCTTTTCTTCATTTCCTCATCAAAAAAAATCTGATAATCTTCTTCTGCATTATTTTTAAGGTAAAAATCTAGAGGAGAGTGTCCATTAATGTCAGTTTGTTCCAAAATTGCTTTTGGAACTTCCTTCCTGTTTCTAAGAGATTTATCCGAGAGTGGAAAGATATCTTTTGGATAATTGTAAAGTGAATAATAGCTCTTTAGATTTTTGATTTCACTATCATTTTCCATCAATAAAGAAAGCTTTTCTATTGCTTCGTACTCATCAAACTCCAAAGTCTCAACATGAAAGTTTTGTAAGTTATAAAACAAAACAGTTAAGAAGAACAATGTTTGGTTTATCTTCATTGGGTCAGAAATGTCTATTCCTTGTAGTGAAATCTGTAGAAACTTTGGCAATTCTTGAGGAGTAAACTGGATCACCAAAGGAACAATAGTTGCCAATATCCTAAAAGCAATATAAACTTGGTGAGTCTCAGTATCTCCCTCTAATGCTGGCATTATTTTATTATTTAATAAGAATGATAACAATATATCTGGCAAAATGTATGTCCATCTTTTCAGGGAATCTTCATATCTACCTGCAACCTGAATATCTTTACTATATATTCCTTGCTCCATTAATGGAAACAAAATGGTCATTAAATACTCATCATCAAATCTACACAAACTCACTTTCTGAACACATTCTTTTTCTATTTGACTCATTTTTTCAGACTTTATAAATACTCTTTCTCTGTATATTCTTTTGCAATATTGGTATGTTAAAGCCTGAACAAAAATTGAAATTCCATGTGACCACTTTCCAATATTTGAAGGATGATTAAGTGGGTATATTATATTTACCAGATTAATTAGAGAATTTGGGACCAATTGAACCTGATCAAGAATTTCCTGTTGATGGCCTTCAGTCATGATATTTTCAATATTACATAAAGAGTTTAATGATTTGATCAAATGGATGAAAATAATAGCAAACTTATTAAATAAATTTATGGGTTTAATATTTAATGCTGAAAGTAGCTCACTCGATATAGTTTCTTTAATAATGGATGGAGCCTTGGTCTGAAGGACTTGGGAATTAGATGTTCCGGAGGAAACAGAAGAGGTACTAGAAGTTGCACCTGTATTAATAGAATTTGATACCACATTATGTAAAATTGGTATCCCCAGATTTATATACAATACTTCAAATAAATAAGGAATTTTTGCATACAAATTGTTTAAACAGTCTCCAATTTTCCAAGAGTGTCTTACCCCCCTGGAAATCACTGTTATAATAACAGAATCCCAGTGGCTTACAAATTGGCCATTCAAGATCTCCCAAATTTCAAAAATTCTTCCGGACTTTAAAAGTTTATAGGAACAATACGGACTGCAAATTAATGCAAATAATTTTGAATAAACAAAAAATGAAAAACTATTTGTATTCAAAGATAGCCACTTATTGAGGAAATTTTCCAGTTCACTCTCTCCAATATAAGGCCTGTATGCATTCAAAACTCTTGAAAGACTTGAAACATAATTTCTAACTTTTTGAGAATTTGTTGTTAATCCATCCAAATAATCCCTAGTAAACTCTTCCTCAATCTTAGTAACAATATACTCAAAATCTATTAATCCACAAATGCAATTCTCATCTTTAACTCTACCCTGTTCTTGAAGTACTTCATCTTTGCAACTGCATTTAAATCCGGTTCTTTCAGCATTATCTTCAAGGTCTATTTGTGAAGTAAACTCACTATGCCACCATGGTCTTAAGTATAATTTTTTATAACAATTAATGTGTGAAGCCAAAATGTTTGCAAATCTTATTTTTGTGTTCATTGGAATCTTTTCATTCTTTATGACATTCCATATATTTTGAATAATATTAACTCTCTCACTTCTCCTTACAAACCTAATAAAAACCAAATCCTCAAACTGGTTGAGCTGCTTAATCAGCCTTGTTAGATTTTGTATCATTTTAATACTAAATAACTCATCCTTCTTAAACAGCTCTAATATCTCCTCTACCGCCGCCCTGGTTTCTTTTCTTTTAACATCATCATCAATAAATCCTGGAAAAAAGTCCTTACAATCGGTAGTTTTCTCAAACATCTTTTTCTCCTTTATTTTCCAATAATATTCCACACTATTTAAATCTTATTTTGCTTCAGCCTTTCTTGTTTCTAGTAATTAGAAACTCAAATTTAAAAATATATATTATATATAAATATATATAAATA